CACTGAGCCACCGAGGCGCCCCTAAAAGACAAAAGTCTTAAAATAACTACAGCTACAGCTACAATAACTTGTGAATGGAGACACAATATTAAAAAGATGTAAATTAGGACATCAGTAACCAAATGTGGGGGAAGGAATGTAAAAATGTAGAGCTTTTGTATGTGCCTGAGGTTAAGTTGTTATCAGATTAAAATAGACTGTTATATATACACAAAATATTACGCATAAGCCTTATAGTCACTATAAAACAAAACCTTCAGTAGATATACAAAAGATAAAAGAATCAAAGCATACTATAGAAAATCATTAAATCACAAAGAGAGCAAGAGTAGAACAAAGGAATGCCAAAATGTCTAGAAAGCAATGAACAAAATGGAAATATTAAGTTCATATGTATCAATAATTACTATAAGTGTGAGAAGACTAAATTCTCCAAACAAAAGACATACAGTGGTTGATGGACATAAAGTAAAAACCAACCACGCACGACCTAAAAGAATAGCTCCAGATTTAAGGACACATACAGACTGAAAGAGAAGAGATTAAAAAAAAGGTTTTTCCATGCAAACAGAAAGAGAGCAATGGTAGCTCTAACTGCTATCAGACTAAATAAACATTCAGTCTAAAACAATAGGGAAAATAAGATCACTATATAATGATAAGGGAGTAAATTCATCAAAGGGATATAATCACTATAAATACCTAGGCACCTAATGTCAGCCACCTAGAAATAGAAATCAATTATTAACAGATCTGAGGGGAAAAATAGACAGCGATACAATAATAGTAGGAGACTTCAGTGCCCCCCTTTCAACAATGGACAGGTGGCATAAACCAGTCAGTAGATCAGATGGACCTCACAGACATTTACAGAACCTTCTAACCAACAGCAGCAGACTACACCTTTCTCAAGCACATGCGGAACATGTTCTAGGAGAGATCATATGTTAAGCCACAAAACAAGTCTTCATCAATTTAAGAAAGCCAGAATCACCTCTATGCTTTTTCTAACCATAATGGCATGAAACTTAAAATCAATTACAAGAAAGCAAAAATTCACACATACGTGGAGATTAAACAACATTCTTCTAAACAACCAGTGAATCAACAAAGAAATCAAATGGGAAATAAAAAAAATCTTGAGGCAAATGAAAAATGGAAACACTACCAAAAACATACCAAGCTTTTGAGGAAACATACCAAAAACTTATGGGATGCAGGAAAAGTAGTTCTAAGAAGGAAGTTTATAGTGATAAACACCCACATTAAGAAAAAGAAAGCTCTCACATAAAGCTAACATTACATCTAAAGAACTAGAAAAAGAAGAACTAAGCCCAAAGTTAGTATAAGGAAGGAAATAACAAAACAAAATGGAAATAAATAAAATATAGGCTAGAAGGACAATGGAAAAAAGATCAATGAAACTAAGAGCTGATTTTTTGAAAAGGTTAACAAAATTGACAAAACATTAACTAACTTAAGAGAGAGAGAAGACTGAAATATAAGATCAGAAGTGAAAGAAGACACATTACAACTGATATCACAGATATACTAAGAACTGCAAGAAACTGTTATGAACAATTGTACACCAACAGATTTCTTCTAGGATAACCAAGGAGAAATTAACACATTCCTGGGAACATATAACTAACCAAGAATGAATCATGAAGAAACAGAAAATCTGAGCAGAACAATAATGAGTGATGAAATTGAAGCAGTAATCAAAAGACTCCCAACAAAAGGAAACCCAGGACCAGATAGCTTCATGGGTGAATTCTGCCAAACATTTAAGGAAGAATTAATACCAATCCTTTGCAGACTCCCACAAAAAATTAAACAGGATGATACTCCCATACTCGTTTTATGAGCCCCTACCAAAGCCAGAGTATGAGCCTTCATATGAAAGCCAGACAAAGATATGCCCAAAAAGAAAATTACAACCTAATATCACTGATGAATATAGATGCAAAAATCCTCAACAAAATATTAGCAAGCTGAAGTTGACAATACAGCATTAACGATCAAACACCACGATCAAGTGGGATTTATCCTTGAGATGCAAAGGTATTTCAATGTATGCATTCAATAAATGTGATATACCACATTAACAAAATGAAGAATCTATATTGTAGTATATTTCAATCAACATAGTCAAAGCATTTAATAAAATTCATCATCTTTTCATGATAAAATCTCTCAATAAGTTGATATAGAAGAACTATACCTCAACATAAAAACACCGTATATGGCAAACTCACAGCTAAACATATTCAGAGGAACAAGTTGAGGAACAAGACAGGCATGCCCACTCTTCCCTCTTTCATTTAAAATAGCACTGGTAAAAAAAAATAAATAAATAAATAAATAAATAAATAAAAATAGCACTGGTAGTCCTGTTCAGGGCAATTAGGCAAGAAAAAGAAATAAGGAACCCAAATCAGAAAAGAGGAAGTAAAATTGTTTCTATTTGCAGATGACATGATGTTATATATAGAACCCTAAAGACTACACCAAAACACTATTCTTATAGTGTTATATATATTACAGTTAGAACTAATAAATTCAGTCAAGTTGCAGGATATAAAATCAATATACAAAAATCAGTTGCATTTCTATATACTAACAATGAACTATTGGAAAGAAAAATTAAGAAAATAATCCCATTCACAATAGTATCAAAATACCTAGGAATAAATTTAACCAAGGAGATTAATTATCTGTACACTAAAAACTATAAAACATTGATAAAAGAAATTGAAGACACAGATAAATGGATAAACATTCCCTACTCATGGATTATAAGAATTTGTATTGTTAAAACATCCATAGAATCCAAAGTGATCTACAGATTCAGTGCAATCACTATCAAAGTTCCAATATTTTTCAAGGAACTAGGAAAAAAATCCTAAAATTCATATGGAACCACAAAAGGCCCTATATATCCAAGCAATCTAGGGTAAGAGGAACAAAGCAGAGGCACCACACTTACTGATTCAAGCTATGTTACAAAGCTACAGTAATCCAAAACTAGGATATTGGCATAAAAACAGACGTAGATAAAACAACAACAACAACAACAACACAGGCATAGATCAATGAACAGACTAGAGTCCAGAAATAAACCCATCCATACATGGTCAATTAATTTTTGACAAAGGTGCAGAAAAACACTGTAGGGAGAGAATAGTCTCTTTAGTAAATGGTGTTGGCCAAACTCAGTATCTCTATGCAAATGAATGAACTTGGACTGGTAGCTTGCCCCATATGCAAAAATCAACTCAAAATGGGTCTCGGCTGGGATGTAGGGTGGGCTGGTGGTGGTGGCTGGGGTGGTTTTGTCTGCCTGCCCAAAGGAGGTGGCCATGTCGGCGGCGCTGGGGGACCAAGCTGTGGTGGGACGAAGCCCGGTATCCCAGAAACTGCCCGTGGAGGCCGAGGGGCGCCTGAACGTGCCCCCCGGGGGTGGTTGGCTGGATGGGATAGGAGAGTAAGCATGAGCAAGGGCGAAAGTAGGTAGGGACTGGCCGTGCCATCAGCTGCAGCTTCAGGGGCAACGCAGGTCTGGTTTAGAGATCAAGCTCTGGTCGGCCCCTTGACGGAAAGAAGAAGAATAACTGTGAGGTGATGACACGATGGCATGTTAATGAGCTTAATCACGGGAATCCCTTCACAACATAGAGGCATGTCAGATCAACAAGTTGTACACTTAAATATATTATGATTTTGTCAAATGTATTTCAATAAAGGTGGGAGAAAATAATGAAGCCGATGTTCTGTGGGTGTTTGAAGCTCCTATACGCCTTCACAGGACTCAGCCCGCCCACAGAGGCGACAGGTAACTGACCGTGTCTAAAGGTGTCCCCAATGAATTATACTCCTTGGAATGCACCTGTGACTTGTGCTAACCAGCAGGATACCTCAGAGTGAGGCTGTGCCAATTCTGGGCCTAGCATTTGAAAGGACTGGCAGTTTCTGCTTCCTAAATTGTTAACACTTGCTTTGAAGAGCTTGAATCACTTTACAAGAAGTCCAGCTCCCCTGTTGGAAACATCCAAAGGATAGACCATTTGGAAGCCATGTAAAGAGGAAAAGAACTGAAACCACATGGAGAGTGACAGAGAACCAGCTGTTTCAACATCTCTTGGAGCCTTCTGGTGACTCTGGCTACAGGAGCATCTGACTATAACCTCACTGGAGAACCCAAATGAAGTCAGCCTTAAAACCACCCAGCTGAGGCCAGTCAACCCACAGAATCATGACAAAGAGAATTAACTTATTGCTTTAAGCATTAAGATCCGGGGTGGTTTGTTCCACAGAATGATAACCTCACCAGTGACTATTCCACGTGACTTCCAGGAGGCCAGAAAGCTCCCCAGTCTCTCAACGTTGATGGCGTCATTGGATGCCAAGTTCCCAGGGAAGGGAGTGCAGAAAGGGGAAGTCATTCAGGAAGGGAGAGCAGGAGGTTGGGGTCACCTTCAGGGGACTGAAGGGAGCCTCAGAGGCTTGCCAGTCCCAGCAGGAACAGTTGCCTTTGGGCCAATGGTTCCAAGGCCGTTTTGCAGGTTTTGCTTTCCCTTAGGTGAACCCATGTTTTGAAAAGGTAAACCATTGAAGTGCCAGCTAGAATGAAGCCAAGGTTACACACTCATTTCTCCCATGGTTATTTTGGTTGTGTTCCGTGTCTAAAGACCCCTCACTCTGAGCATCAATAGGTGAATCAGTTCCAAGGGAGCCCAGGCCAGACTTACAAGTGGAGACAACTGTGTCTTTACTCACAGACGTTCAGAAAAATCACTGTTTGAGTAAGACGGGGTACTTTAAGCACTCATTCCTACATATGGTATGATTTTTTTTTTCCTTCCATGTTAAGAAAAATGAACCATTTAAAACCTTGTTTCCTTTACTCTTAAATCATAGGGATTTTTGTTTTGTTTTGTTTTGTTTTTTAAGCGTAGGAGTGAAAACTATCCAGGTCTATAAATTTTTTTTTTAAGTAGTATCTTTTTTATTAGTGTGTGTAGGTTTTAAAAGAACTATAACGAAGCATTGCTAACTACATAAATATTACTTTACATAGCATTTTTAATCATTGTGAAAGAAGCCATTTGCTTGTTGGTTCTCGATATTTTTCCCATCTATATTCAGATCAATTAAGAATATCTATCATCTCACTGAATTGTAGCAAGGAGTTTACATTATGAAAGTTTCATATATAAAATTTTATTCTCTAATAGAAAAAAGGGAAAATACTGAAAATTATTAATGTTTAAAATAGCTATAAAATACATTGCCTGCTCTAAATGGTTTGATAGCTTTACGAGTCCTTCCTATGTCTTCGAATATTCAATTCTAGTAAATATCACAGCCAAAGAGTTCCAAGCGAAGTGCAATACTTTGATTCCATGTTTTAGGAATGATGCGGATAAACCTGGAGATAATTGGTGGGTTGAAAAAGTTCTTCACGTGTCCTTTGATATTATTATTTCCTTCGAAAATCTGAAAGCAAAATATGAGAAGGTCTTTAAAAATGATATCGTGGTTATAAAAATCTTACAGATCATTTACTTTTATTCTGCAATTTTTGTTCAAGCTGAGGGCATCAAGGAACACATACAACATCACTGGAGATGGTCTTTGGCCGATTATGAAATCCCATGCCTAACAGACCTCTTTAGGGATTCCACCTCCCAGTGATCTGGGTCAGAAAAACAGAGAGATCTGACCTCTGATGTGGTGCTGTAAGGTGTCTGGGAAACTATCTCTGCCCTTAGCTCCTCGGTAGCTGTGTGACTTTGGGCCAGTGTCTTATATTTTCCGACTCTCCTTGTCCTCACTGGTAAATAATAAAAGTTTACCCCACAGGAGTCGTTATGAAGAGTTTTTTAAGTATATAAATATGTGACAAGTGCACAGTGAGTGACAGATAATGGTTATTTGTCACTGACATTGAAAATAAAATGCAACCATGGGCTTTTACTTATTCTTTTTGACAAATGTCTTCTATCCTCAACTGAACAGTGTTTTATGACTTTTTTTTCTTTTTGCGTCCCGGCAAGTTCCCCGAGATCTACCCAGAGCAGCAGCTGGGCCACTCTTTGTTCATGGCACTGATGCTTACTGGGCTGTAAAGACATCCAGGTGAGACACGTAAAACCAGCCAAACCAACCGACCCACCAGACAAACAGCCCAGGAGTTTAAAGAGAGAGAAGTTCAAATGCATTCACCGAGGTAAGTGCTGAGCCCATGATGAGCATTTGGTAAAGGTCACCCCTTCTCCTGTGTTGTCCCTCCTATTGGCTCCAGCCTGGTTTCCCTTCCTGGAATATTAGGCTCATCTCCCTGATTTTTCCCTAGTAGCATTTTGAAAACACGTGGCTGGGGATCAAGGAGCATAATGGAGTAGTTCATCTTGCAGGAAATTGGGTTCCTCGTCGGTTAGGAACCTCATTGTCTCCTGCTTAATAATATGACACAAAGCTTTATGGCCGTGGGTATTTGCTCAGTCAAGAACAAGCTGACCCAAGATAAGCTAATATGATGCTATTTCACAGTGGATGTTCCCCCAGACCCCCATTATAGACTACATGTTTGTGTCCCCCTCAAATTCTCACTATTTCGCAGGGGCTCTATCTCCACAGAAAGATAGCCTGTGTGGTGTCTGTCCCCAGAGCAGCTCCCTGTGGAACTGGGGTTCAGACTTCTTAGAGGGGAGGTGCATGTCTGTGCATATTTGTCAGAAGCAAGGAGCTGCTTGCAAAGGTAAGGATGTCTCTCGCCAGAGCGGGGATGTGAGTTGCTTTGCTGTTGCTTTGTTACCTTGGCCACCATGGAGTATCCCTGCCTGTAAGGCTTCCATTCCATGCCCTGGTCACTGTACTGGATGCTGTAGCTCTTCACATACATCTCAGAGGACAGAGACTTGCAGCCCTGTGTTACAATCGCAGTTATCTTCTTGATTTTGAGCAGATCAATTTGTAACCACTGTTGGTTGTTGTTTGCCTGTGAAGATGGTGAGGACACATGAGCAAGGCCGACATTAAAACCTCCCACTTTTTAGACCAAGATACTCAGAAATGCGCAGAGCTCAAAAGCCTTTCCTATATCATCCCTTAGGATTCTCTGTCCCTTAGAGGACTTCCCTGTTCCTTCTTGTTTGCTGTCACAGACATATATAAACTTATAGTGACGTATTTCATATATCGTATGATAATGGTTTACTTGTTTGTATCTCTTTGAAGGCCGGGATTTATTGTATTTTGTTTCCAGATACTTAGCACAATGCATGGCACAGAGTTGGTGTTCAAGGAATACTTGCTGAATGAATAAATAAATGAATATTACTTGAGAAAAAATATTAGATTGCTAAATTATCTGTAATATTATTCTCTTAATCAAATTTGTTTAAATGCCGTGATGATATTGCGGATGGGTTATCTGAGAAAGGACTGGAGAGTATCCTCTATTTAACTTCATTTTAAAAAAGTCCCACTTTTCTTTCCCTTGCTTCTGTCAACTAAAGGAGGAGTTGTCCAGTTTCTTGTTCTCTGATATTTCAAACAAATGTAATACCTGAGAGACCTAATAAAGCCGTGACTAGGATCTGATATGGTACAGGAGCTGTTCTGTCCCTGCCTAATGAAATGCTTAATCATATGTTTGCTGACACATATTGGAGAAAGAGGGTCAGAAGGACTAACTGAGTTTTGGAGTAATCTGAGACCGATTTTCACCCTTGGGAGATTAATCATGCCCCATAGTCTCAGTCAGTCCTACATGAAATAACGAATATTGATCTATTTCTTTAGCATCACTTACGCGTACATGTATGTATGTATATATATTGATACACAGATATATGTGTAATTTATATACTACATGTATTTTTAAAGCAGATTAATTGAATTAAAATTATTACATTAATTAATTTTTTTTAATTTTGTAGCACTCTCTAGTGACGTTTGGTGGTGCAGGCTGTGTGTATCCAATCCAGGTTGTACCGGTGACACAGAGGTAGGGTCTAGAGAGATCTGGGGGCATAATGACCTTTCATAGGCATAAAAGAGGTGGGTGCACCTCCGTTTGCATGTGTGCCTGCCTAGGTCCAGCTGAGATTTTTAGCCTCTCTAAAGAGACCTCATAAAGACACTGGATTCTAATAGAAGATTCAGTGAAACAGTTCTGATTTAGAATTCCAGATTTAAAATGGTGACCTTAAAAGTTAGAATTAGTATTTCATCCTTGAATCCATTATTATATCACGAAGACTGAGAGCAAATTATATACAGAGCAAAATTTTTCAAAAAGCTGTAATACAGGGTAGGGTGACAAAGTTACCTGGGAAAAAATTGGATGACATCCTTTCTCCTTAACTTTTTCTATTATTTAACATTTTATTTATATAATTATAGAAATGTAATATAGTATCACATTATTACTTTTATTATTTTAACTTCTTTAGGTCTCTGTTTCTCCCTCTACAAAATTGCAAAATGAGGTATGTGGGTGGTTTCCAATGGTGGGAGGACCACTGTTTATCGTGAGAATGGGCTTCCTGATTCTGCCACCAAACGAAGCTAAAATGCTTTACTCTCCTTCATGTTTAAACTTAAAAGGAAAAGTCTGGACCAGATGCTTAGCAAACCCCTTGCTGTTCTTACATTCTGTGAGACTGTGATGGACCAGGACCAGAAATGAGTTTCGAGACACAGATATCAGTTCCCAAGACTATCTGTAGGAGGTCCAAGTTCTTCCATTTTCTTCATTCCTACCACAACTCCCCTTCTGTTGCTGGCAGCCTAATCTATGGATAGGACCTGGAATTCTACAGAGTCCAGGGAACTGGAACGTAGGTGTCTTAAGGGAGGGACAGAGGAGTATAAAAAAGAGGGAAGGGTTAAGTTGACTGGTATAATCATTCTGAGCTCTGATGCCATTGTAATTTTTTAAGTCAGTTGAAGAGTGAAATAAAAATGTGTCAACTATGAACTGTTACCCTAAAACTAAGTCACTGGAATTATCCAATGGGTTATTATTAGGGCAACAGAACTCTCTGGAGGATGCTTATTAAACTTAGGCCACTGATCTATAACCCTGGTTTTGCAGCATTTTGCCATGCCTCCAACTTTCTAAAGGAATGTCACAAAGTTCTCAAAAAATGGGAACAAAAAAAATTTAAATAGCACTATTATGAAAATGAAAAGTATTGGGGCGCCTGGGTGGCTCAGTCGGTTAAGCGGCTGCCTTCAGCTTGGGTCATAATCTCAGGATCCTGGGATGGAGCCCCGCGTCGGGCTCCCTGCTCAGCTGGGAGTCTGCTTCTCCCTCTCCCTCTGTCTGCTACTCTGCCTACTTGTACTCTCTATCTGTCAAATAAATAAATAAAATATTTTTTAAAAATTAGAAATAAAAGAAAATGAAAAGTATTGCTAAATTGTGAAAAAAAAGTATCGCAAATCTAAATCATTTATCACTAATATGAGTTGTCTCAGTTAGGAGCTGGCCAACTCTAGCCCAAGGGCCATATTCAGTCCCTGGCCTGTTTTTGTAAATCAAGTTTTATTGGAACACAGCTATGCTCATTTATGTACTGTTTATAGCTGTTTTCCTGCTACAAGGGCAGAGTTGAGTGGTTATGACTGAGAATGTATGGCTCACAAAGTCTAAAATATTTATGATCTGGTCCTTTGCAGAAGAAATTTGCCCACACTTGATAAAAATCAAAATTAGACCAAGAACCACAGAGATGATAAATAACCTCTCTGAGCCAAAGTCAGAGCTAAGCTATCAAACCAGCAGACATCCTAGATTCTCAGACCTAGGATCACAACCGGCAGAAACGCGAGATTATATTCTGACTTCCAAGGACCCCATGTTTCCCATAGTGAGGGCCTGTGTTTCCTTCTGGAAGGTTGAGGGAGCTCCATTCACAGGCATCCTCTACCTTGGCTTGCCAGGCGTTCACACGACCCTGGGCATTGAGACGGGCACGGAAGGGTTCCCAGTAATCTCCCCACCAAGATTTTTTGAATGAGGAAGCTGTGATTTGCTTGTTTTCTATCTTTCCACTTTCCATACCCAGTGGTGCGGAGCATCCTGTCAAGAGAGAAGTAATGAGATTAATCGTGCGCCACCACTATGCCCTGCATGGCGTTTCTCACTTGCAGAGGAGACAAGAAAAAATATCACTAGCAAGTCACAACAGAAACAACCATTGCCACCAATGATGTTATTGCCCAAAGGCCAAATACTGCTTTTAAGCTCTATGTGTATTACTAAGTGAGAAAACCAAAGAACAGCAAGAAAAAGTAACCAACACTACCAGAAGAATCAGAAACTAAATTGGAGCCCAGGAAGTCTGACACATGTTCTGAATATTTAAACCCATTTTCCTCCTTTGGAGAGTCATGGAAACTTCTGTCTTTTCTCTGAGGTAGAAAATACTCCTTCACTATCTAGGTACATAAGAATATATCCTATTTCTCTTTCTAAAGAAAAAGCTACAAAGAAGAAGGGTGAACCCTTGGTAGTCATGCTCAATAGATGGTTTTCAACCCGTGGAGGGTGACTCCTGTGATGTACCACCGAGAAATCTGCCGAGGCTCGCGCTTGCATGTCAGTCCTCAAAGCTGGTCGGGGACCGGGAGAAACACAGCTCGCGAGTGAGCCCAGCCGACGGCCCGTCACCACCGTCAGCTGCGTGATGCTTTGTTCTTGTTGGTAAATCATGCTGGCATTTTCTTGAAGTGATTATTTCTCTCAATGAAAAAAAAAACTTAAAAAAAAGAAAACCTACAGCTAACTCTGATTATATCAAGAAAATGAAGGTTTTTGTTTTTTTTTTTTAAGTCATGCTTCTTGAATAGAAAATAGATGTTTTGAATAGGTCAACGGAGTTGAATGTCACATTTTAGTTTGACTCTCTGATCTGAGCAAACTACCATTTACAACATATACTATATAGAAAGAAACAAACAGTGACTCTATTACACCTTTGTTCTATTTAGTGGAATTTTATTATGGCCATTTATGATTACTTGGACTTACTTATACCATCGGTCACATTACATCCCCTGAAAAACAGCAGCCTACATAGAAAAAACTTGAGTACCTACAGAGAGCACCAAACAGAATACAGAGTTCAGTCGAGGTTTCTGGAAGTTGGGGGTGTGAGGTGGTTCAGTCTCTTAAGCACCCAACTCTTGATTTTAGCTCAGGATTGTGAGATCAAGCCCTGCCTCGGGCTCCCTGCTGAACAGGGAGGCTGCTTGAGATTTTCTCTCTGCCTCTCCTTCTGCCCCTCCCCATCAGCTTGCTTGCTCTTTCTCTCTAGTGAATAAATAAATCTTAAAAAAAAAGTTGCAGGAATTGGTAAGTAGTTTAGATCTCAAAAACATTCACTGGACATCTAATACAGACCAGTAATGTTGCTCAGTACTTTCATTAAAGTCTGAGTGTGACCTGTAGGACTTTGGAAGAGTCAGAGCTAGTCTGAATCTTTGTTCTTATTGAACTAGGCCAATGGGAGTTATTCTAAGCGATGGCCTTTCCTTGGAGGGTCATGGCAGTGTCCGTGCCATCCTGGCACTGTTTGGAGATGGTGCCCACCTGCTGGCTGGTAGAACCAGTCTTGCTCTAGGTCACAACATAAATGAGAGTCTGCCTGAGCAGAACCTGTTTTACCAAGGTTTTTTGAGGCACCTCAGTGACTACCTAGTACTAATAATTCTATCCATTCCTCTGTATCTACTAAAGCTTGATTCTCTGAGAGGCAGCAAGACAGTAATGCACCTTAGCGTCTTACCGTTAACCTCACAGCCTTGCAGCTCCAACCGAAGGGCCGGTCTGTTATAGGATCTTGTTGGAGAGATCCTAATATATCTAGCCACAATAGGTGGGTCAAACCGATTCTCTTTTATCGTAGAGGCATCCGAATTGCCATCAAAATACTAAAGGAAAAGAGGAAAGCTTAGTTATGGAACAATTCTCTATGAAGTGGTTTTATAATAAAGTTTCAGTTTAACTTAATATTGTCATATTAAGTTTTCAGGTGGCCTGAATTAAATCACTTGGTCTTAAGAAACTGGAGATACTTTCACTTCTGGAAGGTGGTGTAAATGTGCCTCATCTTGTTCCTTCTGCTAAGTACAACTAAAACACAAGAAGCCACTGGAAGATGAAGAGAAGAAGGCAGACCAGCTAGGGTTCTCGGGACCCAAAGAACAACATGGTAGTTGGTGGGCTCCCTGGGTTTCATTTTTGTCTCATATATCCCAGACTGTGAAGTGAAGAAGCCGGCAACCAGGAAACACCAACGGACACAAACAAAAAAAGCTCTGGTGAAAGATTCTTTTCTCTAGCCACGGGACCAGGAAAGGGCAATCCAGCAAGCCGGAGAACGTTCAGACAATAATTGCTCAACTTCTAGATAAACATCAGAGAAAACACCATGGCCCCTCCTCCACCCAGAGCAGCAAAGACCCAGTGGGGAGCCTAGACTTCCATGCTCATAAGACTGTAATGAGTCACCCCAGCACCCTTACCAGGACTGTATTAGAGAAGGTCAAATAGGAACTCAGGACTTTCATCCCCACCAGTTCCTAATAAGGCTCCCACCACTGTATATCATGGAGTGTCTCCCATTCCCACCCAACAGCAAAGAAGAGTGGTCCTCCTTCGGGGGGACCCTGGACTTCAAAGCCCACCTGGCAGGCGTGAGGTGTGCCCCAGCCCCTTTCCTTGCCAGAGCAGTCAGAAGGAGCAGCTAAAACAGAGGGTAAGAACAGCAAGACTAAAACCCAGAACAATAACAGACAGAAGCCAATGAAACAGAGCCAGTCCTTTGAAAAGATGAAAAAAAGAGGCAAATATCTAGCAAGAATGACAAAGCAAAAAGAGAGGCACATTCACCAATATCAGTACGGCTGTAGACCCTGCAGACATCAAAAGCGTAGGCCAACTCTATGCACATAAATTCAACAGCTTCGAGGAAATGGATCAATTAGAAAAACACAATCTCAACTTATCCAATAGGAAATAGATAATGTGCAGAGCCAGTAACTAACAAAGAAAGTGTATTCATAATTTAAAAGATTCCTGGAAAAGAAATCTCTAGGCCCACGTTGTTTCTCTGGTGCATTCTACAAATATTTCAAGAATTAACACCAATTCCAGAAATCTCTCCCTGAAAACAAAAGACATGCTCTCCAAATTATTTTATGAAGCCAGTATTACCCTGATATCAAAACCAGAGAAATACATTATAAAAAATAGAACTACACACCAATATTCCTCATGAATATAAGGGTGAAAGTCTTGAAGTTATGAACTCTGTAACTGTAATCTGTACCCTCTCTCCAAGACGATTAGTAAGGGCTGTAATTAGAGATTTTCATGATCTGTTCAAAGGGATACTGTAAATAACTTATTACTAGAGATACCTACTGATAATACAGACACTACTCAAATAGTAAATGATTTGCAGGAAAAATGAAACAGATTCAACGTTCTCAGTGTAATAACGGCAGACTGAGTCCTTCCATTCGGAGCTTTCTTTGGAAGGGGATTAGGGAGGAAGGGGAGTTGGGGCTGGTACACAGGGGTTTGGGGGAATGATCCTGGCTGAGCTTCCGAAAGAGGGGCAGGCCTGTCGCTCCTCGGGCAGGGAGCAGAAGGGAAAGCGCGCTGACCAGAGCAGAACTGGTGCGGTCATTGCTATCTGCTTCCTTTAAGGTACACTGAAACAAAGAACAAAATACGATGGAAAAGTCAGTAGAAACAAAACTTCAAAGCCCGTTTTTAGCGTGAGCTCCTGAAGGACCAAGACCAGATGTTCCACTCTGCCGTCCGCTGTCTGCCTGTCTGAGAGGTCCGGGTATCTAGTTTGATCCACAAGTGAGTTTTTGGTGGAGTTTTGAAGTGTCGTAAGTCAGGCTCATCCTTTACTCTGTAGTAATAGACCCATCGTTACACCACTTTCTTTCCTAAGGCCCTAAGAAAACCATTTGCATTTCTACCTCCCAGAAAGGTATTTTTTAAAAAGACACGATGACAGGCATAGTCACAGTAGCCCAGGGAGGCTAGGGTGAGTCTAGGGAGTGGGAAAGAAACGAGGTGCACAGACCATCACGTTCCTGGTGCTGTTCCCCTTGAAGATCTGCCAGTTCGTGAGGTCGGAGCTGTACGCCACAGAGAACTGCGTGGTGTAGTAGGACTTCAGATACTGCTTGGCCCCTTGAGTCTGAATCCCCGTGAGTACGACTTCCCTCTGCATGTCCACCTGCCACACAGCAAAGCCATTACAGACTGTCTTTGTCAACAAGTCACGCGCTGCTTCCATGATTCACTGTGCAGCCGGCTTTCCTCGGGACTAACCAGCCAAGGTCTTAGCACTAATAAAATGGCTAGAAACACCCCACATGTGAGCATGGAGGACCTGGGCTTGAATCCAAGTTCAACCACTCACTAGACATTCGGCACTTAATTAGGCCTGCTCTGCCTTAGTTTTTTCATCTGTGAAAAGGATCTCTAGGCTGTGACTAGCACTAACCTCATAGGGTTCGTTTTGAGTATGTAAAGTACTTAGGGTAGTGCCTAGAATGTTGCAAGAACAAGGAGAAATTATTAAATCACTATCATTTTATTAGTATGGTGCTGTAAATATTAATAAGGTTAATAAGATATACCTGGATCCAAGGCTTAGAGTCAAGTTCTGTTGAAGGTTTCTCTGTGATCCAAGCATTATATGACCCACCATTGTTTAATCTTGCTAATTTGGGTTCCCAATAACCTAAATCCAAAAAAGAAAAAAAAAATTATTCTGAATTAAAACAAAGAGACAAACCAAAAGCATATAATTGGCCATTTCCCAAGTAAGTTTAGTCCTAGTGGACAACCAGACCTCTGCAGGGTCTTCTGCTGAAGTTAGGAGACCGGGCCGTTGACACAAGGCCTCAGCTACGAGGCTCATTCACGATGGTGAAATCTTCTTGGCTTCAGTCTGTGCTTGGTCAGCTGTCAACCACCGCCCACCCCCTCTCCTGCATACAGGTTCTGTTTGTCTTTTCTCAGTTATGTTGATGTGGCTGCTGCCCAGAGTGCTTGCCTAAGGGGAGGACGTGGGAGGGATTATGGGAGCCTCCTGATCCCTTCCAACTGACCTCTTGGTCTTAGGAAGGGTTTTGAGGCAGAGTGAGGAAGTTTAGAAGGAGACCCTGACACCCAGTGGGTGGTCTGCAAAGTCCTTGAATAGACGAATGGTTGGCACAACAAAGAACCCCATTAGTGGGGAGAGTAGTATGTGGTCAATGAGACCTTGTGAATCTGGCTGGAATATTATGTTTGTGATCAAACCTGGAAAGGGGATGAATGGGGAGGGTTTTGAAAATGGGAACATGGTCGTGGGAGTGAGGGATCCCCTCCTTGCTCAATCCCTGCTGAGAGGCTGGACTGCCTGGGTGGAGACTCTGAGGAGCCCTAGCTCTTGGTCTTCCCTGAGACAGACTCTACAGGGACCTTATACATCAGAGAGGATGTTAGCGCCTATTATACACTCCTTCCTCTTCCAGATGAGCGCCTCATGAGCAAAGCCAGGGAGGAGCAATGACACGTAGATTCGACAGGTAGGGGTTGTCATGGGTTGTTTTTCAGGCTGTACACTGCACAACTGTAGGAGATGGCTTCCAAAGACGATGATGCTACCACTTACCCAAATGCTCAGAAGCCTTGATCTGTGAATCAGCTATGATACCAGTGCTTAGTCCCATTGGCATCTTACATTCTAAAAAACAGACAAAACACACACACACACACACACACACACACACACACACACAAACAGAACAATGAATAATTTTTGCTTAGAAAATATATATAACTGTGTAAAATCTCCATGGCAGGAGATCATACCTCTGGTGGGTCAGTCATTTGGTAGTTGCACTTCGCTTTGTGGCACTGCCTTAAACATGTCTGGTTATATTTAGTACTAGTACTAGCAAGATTAGTGATTGGTGCTAGTCTTTAACAGAGTGACACCCTAGAGGAAAACCGTGAAGACCCCAAAATTCAACTAGTTTTATACAGATTTCCATCTGCTCATATCTTAAAATAAGTCATTTTACAACCTTAAGTATTACCCCCGTAAGTCTATATTCTCAAAAGTTGACCTGAAAGTTACAGGGTTATTTATATCCTGATCACAAAAGAAAATGCCAGCCACTGAGATGTCTGGATGTTGACACAGGGCTTGTGTATTAAGTACTCAGCAAATATTAAATAAATGCTGGCTAGCTGGTTGGCTGGGTGGATGGGCAGATGGAAATGATTTCTCAAATACTGGAATGCCTAGTTCAGAGACTATCCCAGTCGTTGATGAATTCTTGGTATCTTTTCCCTCCTCTGGAAAATTTCTTACATTCATTTCCCATGAATCACACATCATGACGGAAGCCACTTTATATTCGTTCCCCAACTGAGAAGAATGCCTTTGGGCTGAAACATGGGGTTTAAGTTTCCTTGAAGACTGATGCTTGCGGCACCATCAGACGATGGGTCAGAATAAATCAGTTAGCAGTTAGAATAAAAGCATTATTGCCCTTGTCATGCAGAGTCTCAGAGTTCCATATTTCCAATCTAAAAGTTAGGAATGTTCCAGCAGGGACCGTCCTGCTAAAAGCATCACGTGGTTCTTGGGTGGTACCTCTGTCTATGATGAGAAACGGTGTTTGCATCCCTGCTCTCTGGTTTTCTCCAACCTCTGTGTCCAGCAGCCAGCAGCCAGCTTTTGATGCCTTCATTTCAAGAGTTTTAAATGAACCTAAAACAGAGAGTGAAGGACAATATTACACACCCCTAATGAACAATATTAGTTGACAGCTATCAAAGAATCCTAAAATCCCTGCATCACAAGAGGCTTTAGAAAAGAATTTAAGAATGACCCCTTTCTCTTAGGCAGGACTAGAGGTGTAACAAACAGTTAAAAACAAAACAAAACAATGACACACACACATTAGTAAAAACAACTTGCCCCAGGACTTTAAAAAATCTCCAGCATCCCTTACAGGAAAGAAGCCTTCATACAAAGTTATAAGCTAACTCATACCCAGCACAGCTTCTGAACCCTAAGGATGAAAATGACCTTGAATGACTCATGACCGGGCCTCAAGAAAACTGTCCGTGTTTCCTTTCTCTCCCTTCACTTCATTAGTTTTTCCTTTTTTTATAAGAAAATTAAAATCAAGCATCCTTCTCCCATGTTTTCAAGTTTTCTATTAAGTTTACATAGTTGAACCGAGAGGCGCATGACCTATTTCAGAAAATCGCTGAAAGAAAGACATGTCTGAAACTTCTGATTATCCACTCCGATATTTAATGCTACCCTTTGCTAGTTAATACTTGAATTCTGCTGACTGTAGTTCGTGTCTAGTTTCCAGATTGTGAGTGAGAATTAATAGCCTATGGTCATCCTCCACTGTCCAATACAGACCATTTAGATATGAAGATTTGGACGGGCCAGCCAATTCCAGCTTCTCAGTGTTTCGGAAAGGAGGACTGATCTGGCAATCTACATCTGGTGAAAAGTCAGGAATGAGTTTCACCTAATCCCCTCTTGTCTCTGATTTTAATAGAGTGGGTCTTTATAGCTTCATGAATGCACCATAGGCCTGAATGAAACAAACAAGAACACCCTTTTCCCTATCCCGAACCAAACCAGTCCTGTTCGGACTGCTGTGCCCCTCTAAGGCTGAGTCACACAACAACTTCTCCACCCAAAGTGCTGGCAAGGGACCAACTGTCCTCATTAGCTTCTCAGAGCATTTGCAGAAGATGGGCTGTTTGTTAAAAATGCAGAGGCTCAGGGCGCCTGGGTGGCTCCGTTGCGGGGCGTCTGCCTTCGGCTCAGGTCATGGTCCAGGGTTCTGGGATCGAGCCCCGCATCGGGCTCCCCGCTCTCCCTGGGAAGCCTGCTTCTCCCTCTCCCACTCCCCCTGCTTGTGTTCCCTCTCTCGCTGTGTCTCTCTCTGTCAAATAAATAAATAAAATCTTAAAAAAAGGAGAGTGTCTGGCATCTGCTGAAGATCCCAAGATCTACCAGATCAAAAGCTCCAAAAGCAAATCTCTACCTTGGTGTTTGCATTTTAACCAGCTTCCCAGACTTCCACTGTGCTCGGTACTGTCGCAGAATCAGTCGCCGCGGCACTCATACCCCTACCCACTCCTACGACACACAGGGAGACCTACAACCCACTTGTACCTAAGAATCCTTGGCGATGACTGGTTTGTTGAAGCCTTTTCATTATAAAGGGGGTACTAGCCCGCCTGGTGCTGCAAAGGGCGCACACGTTAGCTGCCTTTTTCGCACTCAGTATGCAGTCTAGGGGTGTGTGTCTGCCCAGGATCTATGCCAGAAACCATGCCCGACCCTCAGGAAGTAATGCCCAGGAGGGAATGAGGGCCAGCGACAGCTCCCCTAGCCGTTTTTCACCAGGGACCTCTTTCCCTCGTGCAGGTCTTTACCAGGCAGCAGGGGCCAGACCCCCAGCTGGTGCTGTCGAGTGCCATTTTCCAGCAAGGTCTGGCCGTGAAAGTGAACCACGTGGATGTCTCGGGAGCTGCCCATGTTCAGCAGGTGTAACCTCACCCACTCTTGCTCGTACATTCTCAGGCCAGGCAAGTTGTAGATCATCCCATTAATGGCTGAAAGGACAGAAAGTTGCAATGGGTTAGAGATCTGTGTACGCCAGCAGAGGGGCTGCCGAAGAGGTCTGAGGCCTCCCACCTCACTACCCATCTTCCTACTGCTCTGCCTGCCCAGGCATAGAGTAAGGACCCCTGTGTACCCTGTTATCAGGGAAAGGCTAAAATGGGACCCCATCTCCTCCCCTTGTCGGTCTCCAGCGGCTTCCTACAGAGCTGACCTCTCTCCACCACGTACCTCACACTTCCCTGCTCTCTGTCTCCTTGACCTTTACAGGGTGGGTTTGCCTGTGCTACAGGAACAGGAAGACGAACATGAGCCAGAGAAGTGAACTCCAGTGGTTGGAGGAAAGAGAGTGAGGGGATACACATCACGTCACCCCGAGGCCTCCTAAATTCAGATAGAGCTCAGGGCAAATCTGGGAATGTGGACGACCGAGGTCCCTGTTTGTTCTCTCATTCCTATGAGAGCTCCTCTGCTCCCTTTCCAGCATAAATGTCTAGGGCTCTCGGGCTTCATCCGCTCAGAGCTCCAGACTCAGAGCTCAGAACTTGCTCCATGAAATGGAGCTCCATTTCATGCTCCATGAAACATATGTGAGTGTGTGTACGTGTGCACGGTGTGCACACTGGCTTTTGGTTGGTGGGAGGGTGGGTTGGGTTTGTTCTCAAAGTAGCTCCCGTGTTAGCTTTCAGACCTTCTCTAGCTCCTCCATGTGCCCGCCACCTGCCAGGGGACAGCAGCCCGCAGCTGTTTAAGGACCTGGTGTGGGTTGAGGCTCCTGATTCCTCAGAAGCACGTCCTGTCTAATCTCATGAAGACCTAGAGTAACCCAATGTGATTCCGTTTGGACACTGGATCAAGGTCAGAGGAAAATACCATGAAACTCATGGGAGTTTTTGACTTCTGAAGATGCAAGTCTCCAAGGCCTGGGGGACTGGGCCTTCTTTTCATAGTACCAGCTCTTCTTTTCATCAAAGATCATAAAAAGCAAGATGAATTCTCTCATATCCATGGGCGTGTTGCTCTTATCAAGGACTCCTTTTTCACAGATCAGAAGGGGACCTATCAAGCCAGAATGGATATCTTTTTCCTGGAAGACAGTAGGAGGAAAATGCACAGATTTTCTCTTTCTCAGGATTTCGTTTGCTCTTCTGACAATCACTGATTCTGTAGAAAAGGAAACCTCAGGAGCTCTGAGTCTGAAGTTTATAAATGAAGAGCTCAGTAAGCCTGGGTATCTCTGATCATCGGATCCCGTGGCACTCATAGTCCCTTCCTCTGATTCGTCCTTTATCTCAGCATGGCAGTAATGATAGTATCAATGACAGTATCAATGCCATTATAATTACTATTTATTGAGCATCTACTATTATAGCAAATATTTTGCTGGGAGTATCTTATTTAATTCAGAAAACACTCCTGTAAATTAAAAATAAGCTCACTTATTAAATATACATTACCAAGTGCCTATTGTGTGCTATCCACTGTTTCCTCATTTTTAACTTTAGAAACTGAGGTTGAGAGAGGTCAAGTAACTTTCCCAGGCCCCCCCAGTAAGTGACAGGATAGGGACTGAAATTGAAGTCTGTGCTTTCTCTCTAGCAAGCCCACCCAAGATGAAGGCATCTCGACTTTGCAGCTCTTTCATAAAGAAAGAGCAAAGCAAAGCTATTACTTGCACAAGGAAATTGCAAAAACATGTCTTCCTCTACAAAGCAGTCACTCTGCCTGAGCTCAACCATTTCCATACCCCTCCCTCCTCTCCACGGAGCACATGCTTCTCTCTCACGGTCATCTGAAGCCAAGTTGTGACAGACTGTTGACCAGAACCCTTACAAATTCCTCATGGAAAGCAAGACACTTAAGGAGAAATTAGCTTGACCCTTCCATCTGGTAGACTCAGGTTATAAGGTTAGGCGAATGACAAAAACTTTCAACGGATGTACCTACCGGGTTCACTGCTGAGTAGTAAGCCCAGGCCCGGCAGGCAGAGCCGGGACTCTCCGGTCCGGATCGGGTGGTGGCGTGCCATACATACGTGTAACTGCTGTTTGGGTGAACAGCATTATCTTCCTTGAACCACTCAGGAGAGTCATCTTCGTAAGTCTTTCCCTCTGATGACTTTTCGTAGGAAAGCCCGTGGGCATGAAGAGAATATGGTCTGGATGCTAAATTTTTGAAACGAACCTAGAAAAAAGAATGACCCACAAAGGTACTAAGTCCAACAAAAATCCAAATTAAAAAAATGTCAGTATTATACACCCAAGCAGATGGGGAGTTATTAAATTAGACCTATGTGTATATATAGTGAGATATGTTAACTGCCTACAAGTACAAAGTAACCCATATATTACTTCATCTAATCTTTACAACATCCCGTGAGATAGAGCCCAAGCAGTTTACCCTAGGAACACCAAAATATGTTTGTTCTTAGGCTGTAAAGCAAAAGTGTTCGGCACACTTGAAGTGACCACAGAAGATGCTGCAGATCTGAAGATGAATGAGCTCTGGGTCTTGCTCACAGTAAGTCTCCAACCTTGCTGAAGAGGCAGCTGCACATGGGGATTGACGTTAAAGACCTGGGACCAAAAGGCCATAACCAAAGTATGAATGGGGTTAGACGGAATGTCTGAAAGGATGGCAATTCGGCTGAACGTGCAGGAGAAAGTTTCTTGGGGAAAACAGAATTGGCCCTTATGGAAGAAAACAGGAGCTCCGCAGAGGAAGAAATAAAATCATGAGATCATTTTTTTTCTTTTCTTTTCTTTTTTTTTTTTTAGATAATTTCTTTTAAGATTATCAAATCACTTGGCAAACAGTCTCTGAAAAGAAGTGTAATTATTTGTTAACTTTGGAAAATAAATTACCTATAGCCCTCCTGCCCCTTCCACTGTTACAAAGCCTCTGGTGCTTGTGGAAATGTCCGTGATGATCTTAGCAACGCTCACGAGATTACTTACTTGGATGACATCATCCACTTCAGCTCTAATAATAGGACCAAGAATGCCAAGATGCTCTTCATACTCCCCCAAAGGATCACGTTTGGTAAAAGTGCTATCAAGGTACTTCCGAAAGACTACTTTCTTATATATGGTTTTCTCTGGATCATCATCAACATCTTCACTGAAATAATAATAAGAATAGTATTTGTTTAAAGGAACAAATGAAAGGCCATTTAAAGAATTGGGGGAATTATCCCTGTTTCTGAGTATAGTATCTAGCATGGATATTTAATTAGTACTCAAGGAACAAATGAATGAAAATATAAATGAGTAAAAACTTAAGCCAATAAATATCCTTCAGATCCCAGCTCACATATCATTTCTTAGGTAAGTCTTCCTATAAACCTTTATAGGTCAAATCTGTCTATATGATTCCATAAGTTTCTATAGTATTGCTAAGCATATATAGTATATTCCTGTAGTACTCTTATATTTCTCTAGTATATATAGTAAGTTATCTTATTTATTTGTTTCTTTGTTTTTTTTTTTAATATGTGATTTACTTGTGAGATTATCTATTAGAATCTGACTCTAATACTAGAGTGAAAACACCATGAGGTCAGGGATCATGCCTAATTTGCTCATTCTTTTATTTCTATATCTAGCAAGTTATCCAGCACATAGTGGGGACTTGTTAGATTTTTATGTAATACATCAGTGAATGAACAAATGTAACCACATATTCGCCAATAGCAGATTTTAGTATCAGAAGCAGCCAGGGCTTGGGGCTGTCTGGTGTCAACGGTCACTCCTGTGAAAGCCACTAGGTGGCTGGGAGTTTTATAGTCTGAAAGTAGCCATTTTTCTCTCATTTCCCTTTTAAAAATCATGTTATTCCTTGTGTAGTTCACTAGTTCAGTCTGCAGCCAGAGCACATGGTATTCTCTCACTGACTCCTCCATGTCCCAGGCCTGTGGAAACAGGCCGAAACTCCTCCGTCATGCACCACGTTTGTCACACACTGTGAGCCGCCAACAGAGGATCCCATTCTGTCTTCCTTCCCGCTTCTTACCCTACTGACCCCATCCTTCCAGACCCTAAGCATAACAGAGTTTCACAGAACACATGGGGACAAGCAAAGCAACTTTGACTGCCATACACATGGCTTGCATGTCTGGAATGCTATATAAGATTTTGAAGGAACTGGTTCCATCCCTTTCCACTTTGGAAAGGCCCTAAATCTTACTCCTTCAGAGCCTCTCTTCGAAATCCCTAGATAAACTATTTATTCTCATATAGCAATGGGTGCTATATTTAAATAGAAAGTCATGGGGAAATGTGTTTTATTCTTACTGGGGGGGTAGGAAGAGCAGAGGGAGAAGGAGAGAGAGAATGTTAAGCAGGCTCCACGTCCAACATGGAGCCCAATGTGGGGCTCAGTCTCACAACCCTGAGATCATGACCTGAGCTGAAATCAAGAGTTGGAAGCTTAATCAACTGAGCCACCCAGGTGCCCCAAAAATGTGTTTTAAACTAACTGAGTTCTAATATGGAAATGCCAGCACCAGATTAATGAAATAATTTCTGTAAGCCATAACCATGCACTGTGCTTGCTTACTCTGATTACCCTTTGGCTTTTGGCTTTTACCGTACCCGTTAGCTTTTGGAAAAGCTATACTGTACTATATTTAGACAGTTCAAGCATGGTCACCATGCTGTGTCCCTGAGAATCTGCAGCTAAGCCTTGCCCCTTGTCCCTCCCTCTCTTCTTTCTCTATATGGTCATCCCAGAATACAGAGTCCACCTCGTCACGGCGTTTATCCTTAAGCTGAACTGAACTGAAAACTCTTAGAAATGTCTGCGGATCCCTTAGAAACTCTCTGCTGTAGTTAGGCCACGTGCAAAACTGCATGAACTCCTTCAACTCCGTGGCTGGAGTGACTAGAATCCTGAAAGGTTAAATCTGAAGAGGATGTTGGGGGCCAGTCAGTGTAACATCTTCATTTAAAAAATGAAAGTAACGGAGTCCAGGAAAGGAGCTCATATACTCCAGGAAACCAGGAATGGCTTAAAACTTCTGAAGTTTTAACTTTCAAGTTCAAATTTTCAATTTCAAGTTTTGGTTTTGCTCTTTGGATAAACACCAAAATTCTTCCCATGGCCTGTAAAACCTAGCAGCATCTGGCCTTTGCAGAGCTAGCCAAACGCTTTCTTACCACTCACCCTCTTCTTTGAGCTCCAGCTACAGGTTTCAGGGCTTCCTGCTTCCACAGGTCCTCATCATGCCCTTCTTTCTGTCTAGAATGTTCTCCTCTTTCTACTTCCTGCCTAGTTTACTTCTACTTATCTTCCAATCTCAGCTCAAATACCACTTCCTCGGGGTCAGATTCCTCAAGTCTCATATCAGCATGTATCTTCCTTTCCTTCTTGGTCTTTAGCTGGTTATATTTTACACTTATTTATGGGAGCATTTAATTCATATCCACCTGCTCAACTAGACACAAGTTCTATGAGGGCAGGAGTCGTGTACGTTTATATTCTCTTTTAGAGTCTCAGCACTTAGCACAATGCTTAGGAGAGAATAAGCACTCATTAAAGAGTTATTGGAGGAGTGATTCTATGAGCCAAATTAAAGCCCAAGTTTAAATTAAGGTACATCATCACTGAATGACTGCCTCAGTTGAAGATATAAACTTAATTTTTGTTTTTAAACTGGCTTGTATCCTTGGCCTCTGCTACTGGAATCTCACGTAATTTGAATCAAATGTCACCAAGATGCTGTATACTTTACATTGATCAGTAAACAATTTTAACGTATTTTTTGGTAACCAAATGTAAAAGGAGATTTCTACATCACAAATTTGGATGTGAAGCCAACTTCAGTGAAATCATGTTGATTAGCAGATAGCTATGGATAGGCTGGGCTCTGCACTCAGGCAAGGAAACATGGTAGGAACACGTGTGGTGAGAGCGGAAGAGAGAGGAGGGGCTTCCTTAACTATCGATTATCATAGACTTCTTATAGTGATTGTTCTTGCATTGTCCAAATGTCACCAAATGTAGAGAGCTAACCTTGGAACTGACAAAGGAAATTGTACAGGACAAGTTGTAATAGGGGACCTAAATTATACTTAGTATAATTTGCCCAGAATTTTTTCCTTGGACGTAGCAATCTTTTTAGCAGTAGTGGAAACATGAGAATATAAAAGGAGAAAATTTGGCCAAACCTTTGAGCAAATTTTGAATAATCCCAGGATATTTCTTCAGCAGCAATGTAATAATATTTTCTGTTTCCACTGTTGCTGCGGAGGTACCACGCTGCAATGCTGTCAGGATTTCTGGAGGAGTTAATGTCTGTCCTAGTATCAGTTTGGTAAGGGTCATCATAGGCCACAAAATCAATTTCAGCAGTGTATTCTTCACTGCTCTCTTCCTTCTGCCTTGGAATAATCTCAATATAATCTCCATCATTTGCACTGAGGCCTATTACGACTGGTGGGTTAAGCTCTCTTGGCATAAAAGTGTTATTTAGGGTAGGAGATGGCACCTGACCAATGTCTGGATGAGGGGAAGTCTGACCAAATTCTGGAAGAAGCAATGACTGAGTAGATTCAGAGGTGTAGGATGTCTGATCAAGGTCTGGAGGGAGTGATGTATCTAGATCAGGAGGAAGGGCTGTTTGACTAATGTTTGGAGAGAGAGTTGCCTGGTTGAGGTCTGGGTAAAGGAGCATCTGATCGAGGTCTGGAAAAAGGGTTGTCTGGCTGATGTCTGATGAGAGAGTCTCCTGCTCAAGGTCTAGAGAAAAGGGTGTCTGGCTGAGGTCTGGGGAAAGTGTTGTCTGGCTGAGGTCTGGAGAAAAGCTGGTCTGGTCAAGGTCTGGGGAAAGTGTTGTCTGGCTGAGGTCTGGAGAAAAGGTTGTCTGGTCAAGGTCTGGAGAAAATGTTGTCTGGATGAGCTCTGGAGAAAAGGTTGTATGGTCGAAGTCTGGGGACAGGGTTGTCTGGCTGAGGTCTGGAGAAAAGGTTGTATGGTCAAGATCCGGGGAAATGGTTAGTTGACTGAGACCTGCAGAGAGAGGTGCCTGCCAGGCTTCAGGTTCCAAAGGAGGGAACATTTGATCAATGTCAGTAGAGAATGGCTTTTTTCTTAGGTCATAGTCGAGCATCTGGCCAGACTCTGGAGGAGATGTGTGGCTAGAGTCTGTAGTGGAGTGTATTTGATCAGACTCTGTCTGATAGTATTCTTCTGGGGGTATTGTCTGATAAAGATCTAAAGGGGAGCTCGTCTGACTGATGTCATTTGGGGCATTGTGATTATGGTCAGGAAGTGAGGCTAACAGGCTCAGATTCACAGAGGGGAATGTCTGATTGAGGTCTGTGGGAAAAGATGTCTCATCAGACTTATGGGGTAACAATGAATGATCAAGTCTCCTGTCTGAAAATGTGGTATTGGCCTTTCCTCTTAGAGGGTGGAAGCCCCTTGGAGATAGAGGAATATGGTGTGCAAACTTCACTTCTTTTTTCTTTTTTCGTGTTTTAATGAAAAAAGGGATTTTCTTCAATCCACTGTTTCCTCCGTCCTGTTTTACTTGGAGAGATTTATTTCTAATTCCAGAAAATCTGGGGTGGCCACTCTGCTTTCTGTGCTTTTTTACGAGAGGGCTGTTTTCTCCCCAAGTCCTTGATGCATTCTGGGGGCTGTCCAGCAGCTTATCAACAGCCATGTCTTCATCAGCATCTGGAACTATTTCATAACTACCTTTCTCAGACACCACATGCCACTTCCCATTCACAATCTTGGATGGATTCTTTTGTTTTAAGAGTAATGGATCACTGGGAAGGTCTTCCCAGGATCCCATTCTGGAAGGAGAAGAATTGCCTTGGCTTAAGTATCTCCCAGTTTTTTGTGCTGAAAATCCCACTCGGGAGAACCTGTCCTTCGCTGTGTGCTCTCTTCCTTTCTTGGATCCCTTATGCTTAGCATGTTCTTGACCCCTGAATCCTTCTGCATCAAATGGAAGTAGGCTTATCCCTGTGATGTCTGGCTGTAGAGGATCCTCTACAGAGTCTTCAGAATAAGGGCTGGAATGTTCTGCTGTCGAATGGTTGAGAGCTGAGTTCTTGTCTAAGCCAATGTGTCCCAGAGAGGGACCAGCCATGGTGGCTGCTGGGTGAGGAAGAGTTTTCTGAGGTTTTGCAAAGTTATAGACAGTAAACCTGCTAATGTTACTTAGGGAAGAAGAATTTGAACTAAGAGCTGTATTAGGAGGAATGAATTCAGAATTGTTCTCCAGAGCTAGGGCAGTAAGATTAAACTCCTCTTCCTCCTGGTTAAGTGATGAATTTCTGAATGACCTAATTCCCAGCCATGAAGCCAGGCTGTTCTGGTAATCATCGTCATCATCAACCTCTTCACCCCTGTTTTCTGAAGAATCACGCATTTTCCGTGTAGTCATGGCTGTAGATGCGGAAGGTCCGTAGATAATCTCATATGAGTCTTCGTAATCATCCCGGATACATTTAACATCCCTGAATCTCAACCTTAGGTTTTTGTTTCTTGGATTGGAATTTATTGTCGTTAACATCCAAGTTCCTATAGAAGAGAGACAGAGAAAACAGCTCTAAGCCCAGAAAAAGATACAAAAACCCTAGGATTCATTGTGGCAGATAATTTTCAACAAACTTCACGTGGGGGTTAACAAGTGTGGTCTGTGGGTCACCACTGATCTGAGAACTGTTGATCATCTGTAGTCACATAAGGAGAGAAGTTAGGTGTAAGGTGTTTAGGAAACTATTCAGCAAGTTGACATTGCTATGCGCCCAATGTGATATGTGATCAGTGCCCTTATCTCATATAACAATGTAGACTGAAAGTACTGGTCAGTGAGGGAGAAAACTCTTAGCACAGATAGTTTAAAAATCACTGTTTTAGAATATATTTAAAAAGAAAAAAGTTAAAAATAAAGTAGGCTTTAACTATCATAAACATCTTGTTGGCTGCACATCTCGTTTGAAAATTGGACCGACGGGGAGGATGATGTAAGATGTATTTCTAAGCAATGAATGACTCAGGTGGTTTGAAGGCAATTTTGAATCTCTTTGAAATGGCATTATTTCCTGACGTACAGATTTCCCGGGGAGTTTCCAACAGTTACACTTGTAGAGTGTCTGCTGAGCACTAGGCATTTAGTACATATGACAATTAACAGTCAAAGCAACCCTGTAAAGTGTGATTGTGTTTTGGAGATGAATACGGGAAGCTCAGTGAGGTCAAGGAATTTGTCCAAGGTTACACAGACACTGAGTCCCCGAGCACATCCGAGGAGCTCCAAACTCCAGCCTCCGAGGTACTGTATCTGATTACTAACTAACCCACAGTGGCATGGCTAGCCCTAGAAATGGAAAAGGCCATTTTGATCAAAGAATGCTCTTTTGTGGCTGAATGTTCATGCCTCCTCCTCAAAGTCACGCCTTATCTTTTTGCTGTTGCGTCTTTCCTTCTCACTTAGCGCAGAAAAGGATGAATGGAACCCACATGAAAGGACTGGACCCATTTAAGTAATTAATTCCCTAAAGAGAAATCATGAGAAGTACTGAAAGGAAAGCCTGTAGGGGATCAGAAAGATAAACTGAGAAACTGTGGTAGCTTGGGAAGCTGTAGCAGAACTTTATAGATCAGAGGTTCCTCTCCGAGTGTCCAGGCTCTTACCAACATTATCCATGGTGACCGTCACAGATTCCCCACGCATGGGGAAGAGGGTCAAGGTGTCCTCATGTCTCTTTCCATAGATGAATGAGTGCCCAGTGAAGTGAATGGTCAAAATGTCATCCTGGGTTCCTACACTGCAGAAGTGCCACTGGACGGTGTCATCAAAGCAGAATCCAAGTGTGGGTATGCTCTCAGGGACATAGCCGTTGATCGCTGAAAGAGGAGATTCCATTAACATGCAAGCCTCCGCCAACAAAAGGACGTGTGTCGAACTGTACCTTCGATTAATGTCCCAATATTAACTTGGTTGTAGCAAAGCAGTGATTACGATAAGCGTCACCAGCCTGTCTAACATGTGACTACATCAAACTCCAACTTCCCAAATGAGAACTTATTTTCCCTACGTTAGCCAAGGGAGAAGTATCAGGAGAAAGACAAAGCCTTTCATTCCCGTTGACTTACTCATTCATTTGTCAAGTGTGTATCAAATTCTCTGTTTTCCACATTCTGCTTTTAAAGATAGTCTGAACCTCAACTTACAATATTATCTAGAATGAGTCTACCTGAAAGAAAAGCATAATATAAGAAATTCACCTTGACACACTGGTTAGTGAGTAAGAGATAGTGTCCCTCCCAGGCAGGCAGATTTAGCACATTTTGCAGCTTTAATTACACCCTCTTAACATTGAGATAATCTATAGTTTTTATTCAAGTATTGAGTTCACACATTTTTATTATTTTTCAAAGGAACACAGCTTTAGGCAGTATCTTTATTTACTTAGGTTCTAAGCATGGTGCTAAATCACAGGTGTGATTTCTATAAGGGCAGGGCCCACCTCTGCCTGTGCCATCACTCTGGCCTGGATACTAAAGCGATACCTGGCACCAGGGAGCACTTAATGACATAACCTGTTTTTCGTTTGCATTTCATTCGGGAGGCTCTTCTAAATGGTCTGTAGCTGTCCTGTCTGATACTGTGGGCGCTGACTCCAAGTGGCTATTGAGCACTTGAAATGTGGATAATCTGGATTGAGATGTGCTCTAAGTGTAAAATACACACCAGATTTCAGAGAGCTAGTACGAAATAAAGAAAGCCAATCTCATCCATTTTTATATCGGTTATATGTTGAAATGATAATATTAGGGATATAGTTCACTTTAGGTTTTCATATGGTTACTAGAAATTTTAAAATTATATTTGTGGCTCATGCAGAATTTCTAATGGATAACATTAGCCTAAAACTATGACAGATTCACTGCCAAAAATGAAATTATGCAAAGAAAGCTGAGTAACTCCCTGTTTGGAAATATTTTCAGGATCCCTGCCTGTTCTGAGAATTCTAATCATTCATATCAGAGAAAGTGATCATAATGGCTCTTGACTCTGAGGAAAAGTGGTGGGAGCCCTGACCACCGTGGCAAAGTTTGCTTTTAACAGGCTCAGTGCAATTTCTCTGACTTCTCACAGCAGTGGCTTTAGGCGCTGGGATTGAAAACCACAGCAAATGCCAGAACTTTGGCTCAGGGCACTCCTTCTGTTCTGAACTTCCTACCTCTCACTTCAAACCTCTTCATGAATTGGCTTTTTAAGATTCTGGCTCCCCATCTGCATTTTGCCTCCGTTTGATGTGACCACCTGGCTTCGGATTACTTACCTTGTTTCTGCTCTGGCCACGGAGCCCGTTCAGCTTGCAGGTGGTCTAAAACCCCACATACCACTGACAAAGGCCTGGAGCCCCTTCCTCAACACCCCGCCCTCACCCTGTTCCTCCAGAGCAGAGGAGCCCAGAGCATGTGTGTAAATGCACATGCACATTTGGAGCTTGAGGCCAAGAAGACTTCCTAAGGAGAAAAAGCTTTTGGCCTCTGGTCGTAGGACGGCTGCTCTTGTGTTCCCCAGTAACTTCATCACCAAATGTCTGGGTGGCGAGTGAACTCTAACCCGTGCCTCTGCCTTCATGCACAGTCGTCCTCCAAGCATGGGAGGGAAAAACGGATGGACAAAAGCCGTGATGGGACTTACTGCTCATGATGTTTGATTCATAAAACTTGGGGTCATCACGTTTCACCTTGTCGGGATTTTCACAGAACTTGTTGATGTTGTCCTCAATGTACCAGCTCTTGTTCTCATCAAACACAGCAAACACGGCCTGCTGCTCGATGTCTGCTGCCCTCTGGAGGGGAAAAGTGCCCTGTTCAGTGATCAACGTCCCAGTAGAGGACCCACAGCACTGAATTCTTCTCGGAAACCAAAGAGGCACAGTCTTGGGGCCATCGCAGCCACAAAGTCTGGCATTTATGACAGCCCATTTTGTACAAAGCCTTTGTTAGAGCCAAAGGTAATATGCAAAGACAAACAGAGCAGATCAGAAAATTCAGAGACTAAAACATCCTAATAGAAAAATTCTATCTCCTCATGGCAGCTGTAATTCTGTTTTATCTCTGTGAGTGGACACCTTTCCACCCCGATGACTGACTAGACATGCTCCTCATAGTTGCAAGGAGAAAACAGAAGGTTGCAAAGGAAAGCTTTCTACCTCTCCGTACCTGTTTCCTTTCCTTGCTCAATAAATTAAGGTCTTCCAAAGGTCCATTTCTGATTTTTCCAGGCATTTATTTATTGTGTAGGCCTTAGGATGAACTTGTTTGATTATAGCTTAGCCTGATCAGGAATTTTAAGTCAATAATATGGGACTATTATTTTCCAATGAAGATCTGTATCTTTATTCACTTTTGTCTCTATAATTTAGTCTCACTAGAGATGGACCATTGTCTGGGTCCAACTTCACCAGATTTTATGCCTCCAAAGTATTCTCTCTTTTATTTCTCCCTGGTCCAGGTCTCTAAAGAGAACAAGCATTGGTAGAGAGCTTTACACTTTTACCAGGTGGCATCTTGCTGAGCCCCAAAACAACCCTGTAAAAAAAAATTTTTAGGAGGATATTACCCATTTAATAAAAGGAAGAAATTAAGAGAGGCTAAGTGGCTTGCTGATGACATACAGAAGACCTGGAATTTCAAACTAAAACAAAATATAGTGTCACGTTGCAGAACTGCCTTCTAGAGTGAGAATCTAGATGAAAATAGACAAGCAAAACAACAACAACAACAACAAAACAAAGGAGTAAATGTCCCATTTGCGTTAGAGAGGGCAACATAGTATTCTGTTCTCTAGAAGGTGAAGCCCCGTTATTTAGCCAGGAGACCGAATCTGTTCCAGCCGGAACAAGTTCCTGGGGTTTCTGCAAGTTTCGTTTGCGGACAGGATACCTGTATGCCTCGTTTATCGAGGGATCGGCTCTTGCAAATGAGCAGTAGGCCAATCAGCCCGGACGCGATGTCCCTGGTGACGTCCACGTGACTGTAATAGGGCCTCGTTAGGCACTGCGCGTCGTGCTCGGTGGGCTCGTCGGACTCCAGGATGTTCCACTTGTAAGTGTACGTTTCCCCTGGTCGGACGGCTCTGACCATGGTCTTGTTGTCTGGAAGGAGACAGAGGCAGACCGTTTCCTTTTCAGAGGATCACGCGGAACCGCGAGCCGTGAGTTCTCGCCAGAACCGACCCGCACTCGGGAAGCACAGAGCCCGGTCGGACGCCCCGGAGAGGCCGCGACGGCACCGCGGGTGGCGGCCCCGGGGGACCAGCGTCCCAGGTGAACAGGGTGTGGGACACCGTGTGGGAACGACCGCCACCGGACCGCACGGGGTGTGTCGCCGAGCCCGGGCAGGGCAGGGGGAGAGCCGGCGGCCGGCGGAGGCGCGCAGCTGCCCTGGGCGGACCCCGTCCACACCTGAAGCGAGGGACGCGTTGGCTTCGTCTTCGTGCGGAGAGAAGGTCACTCCGTGCGGATAAATGCTGTAGACGCGGCTGGCCATGTTCTTGAACACGATCTACAAAGGCAACCCAGGCTCATTATTCCGGGACTTCGGTCCGGTCGTGACAACCGACGTGGGCGCTGGCCGGCGCCGCCGGAGGAGCCTGCGCGCTTGCCCTGGGCAGCAACCTCTCCTGTCCGCAGCATGAACCTTCCAGACTGTTCCACCCCGTGGAGAGGGGGAAATGGAAAGAGAATCTGCCCTTCGGGGTGACGTTTTCCCCACAACATATCACTCTTCCTAGTCCGACCCCAGTTCCCCTTCCCCTCTCCTCTGGGTTCCACCACATGCGCCTTCAGCTCTGTTCCTTCTCTTTACACCGTGATGCCCTCCAGCCTGTCAGATCCCCTGGGACACTGTCCTTGGTGTCCTTTTCTGAGGGGCACACAGATGGCCAGCGAGGTATAGTCACACCTGCTAGAAAGCACGTAAAAAGGATGGGAGAGCTCAGAAATGAGGGAAGGGAGAGAAGAACAGAGAAAGGCTGCTTTCTCGTCTTTAGTGAGTTTAACTGAACAAAAATGCCTTGTGTGCGGACAAAGGGGTGAAGGGAGGAGCAGTATCTACTCAGGGGTCCCAGCCAGGCTCCTTAATCTTCAAGCGAGAACCTTCTCTCGCCTTCCGTTGGTTGACTGCCTAAGCATTTGGATCCCCCTTAATCTGTAGACGACCTGCATTCTAGAACCTTGCCAACGTTTGCCACCTTCACTTCTCTGCTGCCCAGCTCCTACCAAAAGCACAATGATGGGACACATTTTTAAGGAGAGCTGTCTGAAGAACACTCAGTGCTCTGAGTCACATCTAAATTTACCCCCATCAGAGACCAGCCAAGGGAGAACTACATACCAAGAGCACAATGGTGACTCATTTACACTCAGTTGGATTTACTGCTCTGTTCTCAACTATAATGACAAACATTATTTTACAAAGCTATGTGACTGATTCACTCATTCATTTACTTAAGATTTATTTATGCATTTGAGAGAGAGAGAGAGAGTGGACATGTGGTGCAGGAGGGGCAGAGGGGGAGAGAGGATCTCGAGCAGACCCCGGCGGAGAGTGTAGCCAGAGGCAGGGCTCCATCTCAGGACCCTGAGATCAGGACCTGAGCCAAAGTCTAGAGTCGGATGCTCAACCAACTGAGCCACTCAGGCGCGCCAGCAACTTATTTATTAAACCAGTTGGAGGGATGCTATCACGGACTCTACCCGCTGTATTATACAGCGTCCTCTTTTTAAGGATCCATGGGGGAAACCGGTCTCAGTATCAAGGGGAATTATGTTTTGTTTATGACTTCTGTGAATCTTGCCCTGACATATTTTACTCGGATGCTAGAAAACTTTGGACGAAATTTGTAGGCAACCTTATAGAAGCATACGGTGTGCTGTGAATTGTATAAGACTGATGAATCACAGACCTGTGCCCCTGAAACAAATAATACATTCTATGTTAATAAAAGAATAAAAAAAGATTAAGTAAGAAAGATTAAAAAAAAAAAAGCAGCACATGGCATGTGTATACTTATCCATGGCTTTATTTTCTTTGTCCCCATATCACTCTTCACCTCAATTACATTGGCTCTTTGTTTTATTCCTTTATAATTTGATAAATTGTCTCAGATTCTTTGTATTATGAGGTAGGCTATAAATCAGAGCAAATACTACATAGAAACTAAAGTTGTATTTGAATTAAAAACTACATGGACATATTTTTCTTTTTAATACAAAGAACCAGTGCTTATAAACTGTCTTTTCTATTTAATTTCTCCCACGGTTCTATATTTCTTTTACTTACTTTGAGTGTGTCTCTGACCTGGGCTCTGATAATCGGGCCCAAGATCCCATCTTCTTTGATATTATCATTCTCCATACGTTTAGTGAAAGATTCATCTTGATACTGTTTGTAGACAACCTTCTTATAATGTTTTCCAATTTGGTTTGAGAAATTATCCAAATGCAGAGATCTGTATTTTCTTAAAGTGAAATGAATTTTTAGAAAAATTAAACCATCTGCTCAAGTAAAGACCCCTTACGATTTTGAAACTCCTTGTGTTTAGAAGTTCTGCTCTTGGATTAGCTAAAAATGCTAGTTTTCTAAAAATAAATTCATAATGTGATCTGCAAAGTCCCAATATCTACTCTTTAGCTAGAAAACCAGAAACCTTTGTCTCCTGCAACACTGACAAAGTTGCAGGCCTGGTTAGAAACAGCTACTTAGAACTTCCTGTCACTCTGGTCACTATAAAGACCTTAGATGTCTCTGGGAAAATGTCTATCCAAAAGAAAGGAGAGAATGTACTGTGAATTTTTCTCAAGTCTTTGTTATGACTTAATTTATGGTAACTTTATTGACTTCCCAGGTATTTCTTGATCTCTAAAAGTTATGCCCCACACCTGGAAGCTTTGACTATCTTCATTAGTCAGAGTTCTGTGCTGTTGGGCTCACCCTCCTATCATCCATCCAATTCAAGTGCCAACTAAAAAGCAACCACCTCCTTTTTCTGTAGCGGAAGATACAAGACTTGGGGCTGCAACAAGAACCACTTTTCCTCTTGGTCCTCTTTATTGCCTTAGTTTGCAAAAACAGAAGTTCTGTGATAGAATTTACTCATTTTCTGCATATATTTTGCACAATAAAAGGCACACACTATTGCCAGAGTCCTGGAATCTTACTCAGTTCCACCAGTTAGTATTATATAATCTTGAGCAAGTTCCTTTTTTGCTCTTTTTCTCAGTCAAATTTTTTGAATAGCAAATACATTCAAATGATTTTGATTACAGAAGAAAGCTCTCACTCACATATTTTTTCCCATCAACCCCACCTCCCTGACCTTCCCTGTATTTTCTAGATATTCACTTGCATTACTTTCATATGTATCATTCCAGAGCATTTTTATGCATAAATATGGAAATGTTACTTGCAAATATAAATATTCTTATTCCCTCATCCCTTTAAGAAAAGGAACCTTGACTTTTTTTTTGCATTTTCCCAGCTTCATTGAGGTGATTTTGACAGCTGTATATTTGAGACGTATACCATGATGACTTATGTGTGTGTATATGTGATTACCACAGTTACGCTAATTAACACTCTCATCACCTCATGCAGTATTTGTCATTTTGTGTCTGGAATGTGTCTTAGCATGATATTCTACAGGCTCATCCATGATGTCTCCAATGGCAGGCTTTCTTCTTTTTTAAGGCTGAGTAATATTCCTGCGTGTGTGTAATATTTTCTTTATCCATCCATCCATCAACAGATGCTCAGGTTGTTTCCATATCTTAGCCATTGTGAATAATGCTGCCGTGGACATGGAATGCAGATACCTCTTTAAGATATTGACTTCATTTCCCTTGGATATAATTCAGAAGTGGAATTGCTGGATCATACAGTACTTCTATTTTTAATTTTTGGAGGAGCCTTATTACTATTTTCCATAATGGTCGTACCAATTTATATTCTCACCAACACTGTACAAAGTTCCATTTTCTTCACACCCTCACCAACCCTGGTTACCACTTTTTTGTAGTAGCCATCCTCACAGGTGTGAGGTGATAATCTCATTGTGGATATGATTTGTATTTCCCTAACGACTAGTGATGTTGAACACCTTTTCATATATCTATTTTCCAATTGTACATCTTCTTTGGAAAAATGTCAATTTAGGTTCTTTGCTGATTTAAAAAAATTTATTTTATTATTTTTTTAAGATTTTATTTTTAACTAATCTCTGCACCCAGCATGAGGCTTGAACTCACAACTCCAAGATCAAGAGTCCCATGCGTCTCTGACTGAGCCAGTCAGTGAGTCAGCACTGCCTTTCCTCATTATTCTTTTTTGCCATTGAGTTTTTAATTTATTTTTTATCTATTTTTATTTTAGGTTTCAACACCGTATTAGAGATATGGTTTGCAAATATTTTCTCTTATTCCATAGATTGCTTTTTTGTTTTATTGAGATTTATTTTTGGCATACAGAAAATTTTTAGTTTGATGTAGGCCCACTTGTATATTTTTGTTTTGGTTGTCTGTGCTTTTTGTGTTAACCCAAAAAAATCATTGGGAAGACCCATGTCAAAGGGCTTTCCTTCTATGTTTTCTCATAGAAGTTTTATGGTTTCAGGTCTTATCTTTAAATATTTAATTTATTTTGAGTTAATTTTTGTGTATATGCTATAAGCTAAGAGTCCAATTTCATTCTTTTGCCTGTGGATATCCAGTTTTTCTAACATTAATTATTGAAAAGACTGTTTTTCCCCCATTGTGTATTTTCAGTGCTCTTGTCCAAGATTAGTTGACTATATATTTCTGGGCTCTCTATTTGGCTTCATTGGTCTAAGTGTCTGTTTTTATGCCATGATTATACTGTTTGCTACAGCCTTGTAATAGAATTTGAAATAAAAAGTGCGATGCCTTCAACTTTGCTCTTCTTGTTCAAGATTGTTTGGTTATTCAGGATCCTTTGTGGTTCTATATGAATTTTAGAATAGTTTTTTCTATTTTTGTGAAAAACGCCATTGGAATTTTGATAGGGATTGTATTGAATCTGTAGATTGCTTTAATATGAACCTTTAAAAATTAGTTCTTCCAATTCATTAACATAGGATATCTTTCTATTTGGTTGTCTCCTCTTCAATTTCTCTCATCAATATCTTATAGTTTTTAGTGTATAGACCTTTCACCTCCTTGGTTAAATTTATTCCTTAAACATTTTATTATTCTTAATTCTATTGAAATGGGATTGTTTTCTTCATTTCTATTTTGGATAGATTGTCATTAGTTTAATAGGTACAGCTGACTTTTATATGTTGATTTCATATCCTGCAACTTACTGTATTCTTTTATTAGTTCAAATAGATTTTTGGTGGAATGTAAACTTTTTTCCATACATTAAATCATATCATCTGCAAAGAGAGATAATTTTATATTTTCCTTACCAATTTGGATGTCTTTTATTTATTTTCCTTGCCTGATTGCTCTGGCTAGGATTTCTACCACTATGTTGACTAAAAATGGTAGGGACTCTTGTCTTGTTCCTGTCTTAGAGAAACAGCTTTCTTTGAGTGTGATGTTAGCTTTGGGTTTGTCATATATGGCTTTTATTATATTGAGGTACATTTCTTCTATACTTGTTGAGAATTTGTATCATGGAAAGATGTTGAATTTTATCAGTTGTTTCTTCTGCGTCAACTGGGTTGCTATTATGACTTTTATCCTTCAATTTGTTAATGTGGTATATCACATTTATCACATTTATTGATTTGTGCATGGTGAAAAATTCATGCTTCTCAGGGATAATCTCACTTGATCATGGTGTATGATCATTTTAATGTGCTGTGTATTTGGTTTGCTAATATTTTGGTGAGGATTTTTGCATCTGTGTTCAACAAGGATATTGGGCTCTCAGTTTCTTTTCTTGTATTGTCCTTATCTGCTTTGATGTGAGGAGAATGGCTTGTAAAATAAGTTTGGAAGCGCTCCCTCTTCTTCAATTTTTGGAAGAATTTGAGGATTCGTGTTAGTTCTTCTTTAAATGTTTGATATAATTCATCTGGGAAGCCATGTGATTCAGAGCTTTTCTTTATTTGGAGATTTCTAATTAATGATTCAATCTTCTTACTTGTTACTACTCTGTTCAGATGTTCTATTTCTTTAAGATTCAGTCTTGGTAGTGTGTATATTTCTAGGAAATTATGCATTTATTCTAGACTATCCAATCTGTTGGCATATCATTGTTTATAGTAGTCTCTCAAGATCCTTTGCATTTCTGTGATATCGATCATAATGTCTCCTCTTTCAGTTATAATTTTAAGTATTTGAATCTTCTCTTTCCTTGGTTAGTTTAGCTAAAGGTTTGTCAGTTTGGTTTATCTTTTCAAAAAACTAGCTCTTGGTTATTTTGATCCTCCTTTTTTCTTTCCTTCTTTTTTTAAATTAACATATAATGTATTATTTGCTTCAGAGGTATGGCGATCTTTTCTATTGTTTTTCCAGGGTCTACCTCATTTATCTTTCCTCTAATCTTTATTTCAGTCCTTCTGCTAAATTTGGGTTTAATTTGCTCTTCTCCCTGCCCAGCTCCTTGAGGTACAAAGTTAGGTTTTTCATTTGAGAACTTTCTTTGTTTTCTAATATAGGCATTTATTTCTATAAACTTCTCTCACGACTGTTTTTGCTGTATTCTGAAGTTTTTGTATGTTGTGTTTTCATTTTCACTTGTCTCATGATATTTTTTTGATTTCCCATTAGATAAGTTTTTTACCATTCCTGAAAGTGTATTTAATTTTCAAGTATTTGTGAATTTCCCAATTTTCTTTCTTTATTGATTTCTAGTTTCATACCACTGTGCTCAGAAAAGACACTTGATATGATTTTGTTAAGACTTATTTTGTGGCCTAATATATGATGTATCCAAGAGAATATTTCATGTGCACTTGAGAAGAATATGTATTTTGTTGCTGTTGGATGAATTGTTCTCTACATGTCTATTAGGTCCACTTGGTCTATAGTGTTATTCAATTCCACTATTTCCTTATTGATTTTATGTCTGGATGATTTACCTATTGTTTAAAGTGAGGTATTTAAACCTCCCACTATTATTGTGTTGTTGTCTATTTCTCCATTCACTTCCATTCATATCTACTTCATATATTTAAGTGGTCCAATGTTAGGGATATATGTATTTATGATTGTTATAAATTCTTAAAAAATTAACCTCTTTATCATATAGTGACCTTGTCTCTTATGACAGTTTGACTTAAAGTCTATTTTGTCTTATGTAAGTATAGCCAATCCTGTTCTCCTTCAGTTACCATTTGCATGGAAAATTTTTATCCCTTTACTTTGTTTTATCATGTATTATTATTTTTTAAATTTTTATTTATTTTTTAAAATTTCTTTTCAGTGTTCCAGAATTTATTGTTTATGCAGCACACCTCGTGCTCCATGCAATACGTGCCCTCCGCAATACCCACCACCAGGCTCACCCAACCTCCCACACACCCTGCCCTCCAAAACCCTGTTTGTTTCTCAGCATCCACAGTCTCTCATGGTTTGTCTCCCTTTACTTTTAACCCATATGTGCCCTAAAGCTAAAGTGAGGCTCTTGTAGACAGTATATTGTTAGATGTTAGTTTTTTATCCATCTGGCTACTCTTTTATCTTTTGATCAGAGAATTTAATCCATTTATATTTACAATAAGCATTAATAGGTAAGGACTTATTATTGCTATTTTGTTGTCTTGACTTTTTTGTAGTTCTTTTGTTCCTTTCTTCCTCTGTTGCTATTTTCCTGTGATTTGTTGATGTTTTTGTATTTGCATGTTTTTATTCCTTTATATTTTGTGTATCTACTAGAGGTAGAAGTTTTGGCTTTGTGGTTATTATGAGGCTCACATAAAACATAGTTCTAACAGCTTACTTCAAGGTGATGACAACTTAAATTCAATTGTATAAAAACATCTACACTTTTACTACTCCCTCCCAATTTGTGCTACTGATGTCACACTTTACATCTTTTTATATTGTATATCCATTAACAAAGTATTTTAGCCTTGTTATTTTAATACTTTTGCCTTTAGATTTTTATTTTAAAGTTTTTTTTTAAATTAAAAGTCACTATATACCACCATTACAGTACTGGAGTATTCTGAATTAGACTATATATTTACCTTTTCCAGAAACTTTTATACTTTCATGTTTTCATATTGTTACTTAGAGTCCCTTCATTTCAACTTGAAGAACTCTCTTTGGCACTGTAAGGCAGGCCAGTGATGTTGAGCTCCCTCAGCCTTTCTTTGTCTTGGAATGTCTCTTCACTTCTGAAGAAATCTCTTCACTTCTGAAGAAAAGCTTTGCTGAGTGTAGTATACTATTCTTTGTTGGCAGAGGGTTTTTTTTTTTTTTTTTCTTTCCTTGCAGCACCTTGAGTATATCATCCCATACTCTCCTACCCTGTAAGATTTCTTCTGAGAAATCTGTGGATAGTCTTATGCGGGTCCCCTTGTATATGACAAGTTGCTTATCTATTGCTAATTTCAGGATTCTTTCTTTGTCTTTGACTTTGGACAACTTGATTATCATGTATCTCAGGATGATCTTTGGGTAGATCTTGCTTGAAGTCCTCTGAGCTTCATGAATCTATATGTCTATAACTCTCCCAAGATTCAGGAACTTTGTAGTCATTATCTTTGTATAAGCTTTCTGCCCCTTTATTAATTCTCCTTTTGGGACTCTCATAATGCATATATTTGATGGTAAATATAAGTCATGTGAGCTTTCTTTATTCTTTTCCATTCTCCACCTCCTTTTTTGTCTCTATAACTAAATAATTTTAAATTACCTATTTTCGAGTTTGCTGAATCTTTCTTCTGCATGATCAAGTCTGCTACTGAAGTTCTCTATTGAATTTTTAAAATTCTGTCATTATATCCTTCAGTTCCAGGTTCTCTGTTTGGTTATTTTTTATGGTTTTAATTTATTTGTTACACTTATTTTATTCATGCATTGTTTTCCTGATTTCATTTCTTTCTTTCTTTTTTTTTTTTTTAAGATTTTATTTATTTATTTGACAGACAGAGACCACAAGTAGGCAGAGAGGCAGGCAGAGAGAGAAGGGGAAGCAGGCTTCCTGCTGAGCAGAGAGCCCAATGCGGGGCTCAATCCCAGGACTCTGGGATCATGACCTGAGCCGAAGGCAGAGGCTTTAACCGACTGAGCCACCCAGGCGCCCCCCTGATTTCATTTCTTTGCCTACCTGTCCTCTTGTCCCTCACTGAAGTTCCTTAAGATGATTGTTTTGAATTTTTTGTCAGACAATTTGTAGATCTCGATTTCTTTCACATTGGTTATTTGAGCTTTATTAGTTTCCTTTTATGGTGTCATTTTTGCCTGATTTTTTTGTGATTCGTGTAGCCTTGTATTCATGTATATTTGAAGGAGTAAACACCTTCTTCTGGTCTTTACTGACTGATTTTGTCAGGTAAAGACCTTCTCCTGTCAAGTCTCTGGGCTGCTGGGATTGCCTCTGTGATCACAGCTGAGTGAAGCTGGAACCAGGTCATGTGGCTGCTTCTGAACCTAGAGTGGCATCTGTGGTTAGTGGGCCTTTTACCAGGGGGTCAGGTGGGCATGGATCCTGTCTAGTCTCTGGGCAGATACGACTGTCTCTAGGACCTTGGTCAGTAGAGCTAGTGCTGAGATAGTGGCTTATTTCAAGGTTTATAGTGGAGTCTGGAAATGGCAGTGCTGTTATTAGGTTTTTTTGATGGGTGTGGCTCCCATCTGGTCCTTGAGAAGGTTCCCATCAGGTCATTGAGTATATCCCTTGGTGGGCAAGACTGCAGTTGGGAGAGCTGGAGCTGGGTTACAGTGATGCTTCAAGATTTGCAATGGGACTGAGGTCTGCAGACCAGCCTCCGGGGCATGGATGGATGGGATTCCCTGAAAGTCCCTGAGCTGGCAGGACTATTCCAGGACTGGAGCTGGTTACAGGGCCACTTTAAGATCCATACACCATCCAAGGTCTGTAGGCCACCCTTCAGGGTCATGGTCAGGTGTGACTTCTAGGTCCTTTGGCAAATGATGCTGGTGTCAAGACCAAGGTCAAGTGGGGCAGTAGCTGAGTCCATAATGGGACAAGGTTGCTTCCAAGTTTGTAGCTGGGAGCATCATCAGTGAATCTACCATCTAAGCATGACGTGCCTTCTCAAAATATCCTTCCTTGGTCTTGGCTTCTGTTAGGAAGGTCTTGCAATTTCTCAAATCTACCTGGATCCCAAAGCTGTCACAGAAGTACTTTTGTTTGTGGATAGCTGTCAAATTACTCTTGCTGTGGAGGGATATGGGCAGGGGACCTCCTCTTCTGCCATTTTTACCTCCCTTGACCTCTTAATCTAATAACATAACTTGGAGAATTTTTTATACTAGTATATAGGGAGTGTTTACGTCCTTTTTTGAAAACCGATGCATAGTAGTCCATCATATGGATGTGTCATAATTTGTTAAACTCATTTCCTACTGAAGGACATTTCAGGTTGTTTTCAAACCATTGCCACTACTCACAGTGCAGCAGTGAGTATCCAGTACATACATCACTTCATATGTGAACGATACACCTACATAGCAAATTCCCAGAGCACGATTGCTGGGTCCGAGGACACATGCATTTATCATTGTGAGCACGTGCGTTTGTAATGATGATACATATTGTCGAATCGTCCTCTTGACTGGCTGTATCAGATTATTGTCCCACCAACAATATATGATAGTGCTTGTCTCCTACAGCCTAGCCAACAGATTATGTCATCAGGTCTTGGGAGTCTGCAAGGTGGAAAATAATGTCTCAGTGGAGTTTAATTTGCACTTCTCTTATTGTGAGTGAACTTGAGCATTTTTCAAGTGTTAAGATTATTTGAATTTCCAAATTTCTTACTCTCTCTGACACCTTTTCTAATCTACAAAATAAAGTAAAAGCTGTTTCTAACTTGGAGAGTTAAAGTAAAACTCATAGCAAATGTTTCACATGGTGCTTGGCAATAGCAAGCATCCAACAAGTGGGTAGCGCTATTACTAGTAAGACTGTTGCTGCTGCTGTTACTACTCCTCCTACTCCTACTGTTACTACTGTTACCACTACTACCACTGCTGTTGATGCTGCTGCTACTGCTACTACTACTATTATTGTTACTACTACTACTAGTACTACTGTTACTACTCTCATGCTGCTGAGTTCCCATGGGGAGTTTAGAGTCATTCCAGATTGATTTGGACAAAAAGAGCTGAATCCAATGCATGTATACCCCTGAGAGCAGTCAACTCATGGCATTTCACCCATGCTTCTAAGACCCCTGAACCTTCATTCACATAGTGGTAAGAACCCCAGAACTCACTTGTCCATATTCACTGGTATTACCGGTGCGTAGTCCCAGATGACTTCCTCCGCAGCAATGAAGTATTCCCACCTCTTCATGTGCCGCCTCTGGTCACGAGTTAATTTCTTAGGATTCCTGGTTTTCTTCGCACAGTTTTTAATGTCAATGTGAGCCTGCATCCCAGCTGAATTAGAATACAAAGGCAATGAAAGGATCTGAAAGAAGAAATTACAGCCAACCCAAATGTATATCTTTTAAATAAATTTGTGGAAGATTTACGTAATTACGGCAAAAGTGCTGCTCAGACAACTTCTGAACATTTTGGTCTGCAGCTCTTTCAGTGCCGTAGAGAAAGGGGTAAGAATTAAAAGCAAAGGAAAGAGAAGATGGGTTAAAGAAAAAACATGAAAACATTTCATTTCTTTCAGAGGAAAAAAAATGTAATTTCCAGATCCTTAAAATCTTATGACTTAAGTCTTGTTGATTTCTCATTTTTCCCGTCATCTGTCCCTTTATTTGTAGAATGGAGATAATGCTAGCACATACTGTATAAAATCATTGTTAAGAATTAAACAAGTTAATATACATATTGCTTAATGTCAATGATGTTAGTTTTGCTGTTGTTGTTTTATTATTATTGGGGACTCTACCAAGGGTATTGTGACAATTTCATGACTTTGAATATAATTTTGACTGCTCAGTGCAAACAGAAAACAAAATGGTCCCATTGAAGTGTCTCTTTTTTATGTGTCTGGCTTTTACATACATTGTTTTGGTAAGAAAATTATTTCCTGCAGTGATATCACTTACTTACATTTTGGTCTGTTTACACAGACCCTCTTCCCAACAGTTTTATTTATTATTTATTTATACATTTATTTATTTATTATTAACATACAATGTATTATTTGTTTCAGGGGTATTCCTAACGGTTTTAAAGCAACAATGTGTAATAGAACAATTAGGTATTTTGTTTACAAGATACTGTGTAACAGCCTGGGCTGATTCTTTTTCCTACCAAAACTTACCGATGTTCCTTAAAGTCCACTCCTTAGCTGGTTAAATACTATGCTTTTTCTATTCAACGTACATCCATTGGGTTCCTCTTTGTGCCAGGATTTGTGTCCACCTTGTTATAAAAGATAATCTTTCCATGTTCAATCTTTTGCGCTTTCTGTAACTTAGTGCTTCCATAAATTTGCAGATGTTTGATTTGTTCTAGCACTTAGGTTTTTTCTTTAGCTGAATACTAAATAGCCCAAAGAAGAATAACTCTATGTATGCATTTACTTCCTTCCCTTTTTCTCCTTTTGAGGAAGTAGACCCCTTTTCAGCTTTTGCCTCATTTTAGGAAATCTTTGTCAATTCCTCCACATCCTCTATCCCAACTAATGTGTTAAAGTCTAAGCGCAGAACAATGAAATTCTGTTCTCAGGATGAAGGCACTATGTCTGGAGCATGGGTGGCTTGAAAAGGCAAAGGAGAATGAGGGAATTCGTGCTTGGGGTGGAAAGATCGTATACTCACAAGCAAAACTGTTGGAAGAATTTCTTACCTTGAAAATGTCTTGGGATGAGAGAAGATATGATCCACTTTCCCTCTGGGCTCATAGTCATGTTTGCAGTAGTGGATGTAGCACTGACAAGGGTGATAGCCGAGATCTTATGATGATTCTGCTCCAAGACCTGGCCGTTGAAATGAATGGAAAACAGCTCTGGCCCAGAACTCATTCCAATCAGATGCCAGCTAATGTGGTCATGGGCACAAACTGTGATATCTGAGAGGGAGAGGTGGGGGGTACAACAGGCAGTCAGCGCTCTGTAATAAACAATTCACTCACCAGATACATACTGAGCACCTGCTGTGCATCAGCTATTGTTTCTGGGGGTACAGACCCTCTAGCTGTGCCTCCTGCCCTGGCAGAGTAGACATCTGAGTGTTGGGCAAACAAGCAGTCACAGCTCACGGCAATGAGTGGTGCTCGAGAGCTAACAACAGAGCCTGGAGATGAGCAAAGTTAGTTCAGAAACACAAGGATCGATTGCTAAGGGATTAGGCCAAGGAGGGAACCAAGTAGGTCACCAATCATCCTGGTCTATGTGGGACTGAGGAGTTTCCCAGGGCGCAGTATTTTCAGTGTTGAAACTGGGGAAGCCGTCTGAGAGCCTGGGCAGTTGGTCACTCTATAATCAATTTGCACTCAGCCAGAAGGCGTCACCGGAGCCTCCTGAGTTCAGGGGTCTAATCAGGTCTAATCAGGTAAGGCTGAGTTCAGGGGCCTAATCGGGTCTAATCAGGTAAGGCTGAGTTCAGGGGCCTAATCGGGTCTAATCAGGTAAGGCTGAGTTCAGGGGTCTAATCCTCTCAGCTGGACAGAGGTCAGAGCTCTGCCTACGGGAAAGATGTGAAGAGGCTTTAGGAGTTCTTGATCGCTTCTTTAACCACTTGTTGATCGTTTAAATGACAATGCAGTGAATTACTCTGTGGGGCATAGACTCTCCTTAAATGCAATGGGCAAATTTTCATTATGCCCAGCCACGAGGAGCATTTTATGGATAAAGTAATGGAAACAGAATAAAAGCTGAGTTTCGTTCCTTCTTTGTGCTCACGGTAACTGGGAAAATGCTAATGTGCTCGGTGGGAGATTCCAACCCTAGCTCCCATCCTTGGCTTGGGTTTTGAATTTCAGATTCATAACCCCTAGATACTACACTATGGAGCTGAGAATCAGTCCCTTACCTACAGAGAGGCTGAGGGGCTTGTATTTTTTAGGAGAGCACTGTAACCTGGCGGGCATTCCTAAATCACGGGTGAGAACAAGAAGCCAGAACCTGCGAGCAAGAAGCTAGAAGGCAGGAGGCTTTGACGAAAGTGTTTACGTACTCCAAAGAAATTCTTACACTGAATTAAGCATTTAACATATCTGTATTAGCATTTGTCATATTTACTTAATTTACCTTTTGCTCCATGAGGCAACTGTGAAGCATTAACTTTTCTGTTTCTACTAATGACAGCCCCTATCCTGCCTCTCTTAAGTCCCAACTTCTCTTTTTGACTATAAATTCAAAAACTCTATGACCTGATCAGGTTATTAACTTTTTGCATAGGACTTGCTTTTGTATGACTTCTATACATTTACAGAAATGTAAAACGTAAATACAGAAATTACAGAAACGATTCACTCTGCCAGGACACAGATACAATGTGTCTCTGACCACTCCCCTCTAAGGATTATAGCACTGGCAGTGTCTTTTATATGTAAGAAACTTCCTAACAATCTCTGCCCAAGGATGGATGGCTAATCCGTTTTTGTAAATAGGCACATTGAGGCAATGAACTATCAAGGACCACACCAAGCTAGAGATGTGAGCAAGGCTTGACTCCGATCTCCTAAGACATACATCAATTGACAAAGTTTTGGGGACTCTGAGTAACAAGCAGAGTCATCTGAGTACATCTGTAATAAACCAGGTGGGAAGGGAGAGCCAAGTGAAATAGAATACAATTTAAAAATGAAGTCCAGATCTCAACCTTGGACAAGTTTTGTCTTTAGGAAGTAAGCCAGTTGCAGTTGTCAAATACAGAGAATGGTCTCTGAGAAGCTTAGTGTTCTGAAGTATGAAATTATTTAATAAAATAATGTTTTCATTTTTCCATTCTTTTTCCTCAGGGTGTTTGGTTCTAAGACATTTCTATCAGAGAGATGGAAGAAGAAGTCTGGATGGGAGTCAGTTTTGTTGTTTTTCTTTCACTTTTTTAAAAGGTTTTATTTATTTATTTATTTATTTATTTATTTGTCAGAGAGCGAGCACGCACGCATGAGCAGGCAGAGTGGCAGGCAGAGGCGGAGAGAGAAGCAGGCTCCCTGATGCGGGGCTCGATCCCAGACCTTGGGATCATGACCTGAGCCGAAGGCAGATGCTTAACCAACTGAGCCACCCAGGAGCCCCTGTTTTTCTTTCTCTTAACAGTTGCTATGATTTTGCTTTTCCACAAGAGTCTCCATGAAAACGGAGAGTGAACGTCCTACACGTCATTGGGCATTACTCATCCATCGCCTTTTGAAACGCTCCTAGTATTTTTGTATGTGGCGTATTTCTCCTGATCTACTCATCCCCACTCCTTGCATTCTTTCTGTTGATGCTTCCTGCTAGGGATCGACCTTGAATTTGTATTCTGTAGGGCTTTCTCTGTGGAGGAAGGCATGGTCATCATGCAGAGGAACCACAGAACTCACTGAATGCTGAGCTTGTATCTTGGAGGTCTTCCTAGAGGCACAGGGCAAGGTGGAACCTGCTCACATCCCTACATCCCATACATAAGCTGCACACTCTTTCTCTGTAGAAGGCTGATGAATCGCTGACCTCTGAAACCAATAATACTTTACATGTTAATTGAATTTAAATAAAAATTTTTGAAAAGAAAAAAGAAATAATTTCTCCATATATGCATCTTTTCTCAAAATAATATTTTGACAAGTGAACAGCCATGAATTTGGCAAATGATAACATATCCTCTTCTGAAGAATGTTCTAGAAATGCTTTCCTGGATCTCTTCTCACGGCCGCTCATGAATCAAGAGTCCAAGTAGGGCAGCATCTGTACGTGTGCTCCGTCTGCATATTTGACCCCTGAAATACTTAAGTCGCCCTCCTGGGGGGCTACTGTTACCCTTTCAGACACCATTAGTTCAAAGTCTGGAGCTGCATGTCCAAGATGGTTGTTGCTTGCTGAACATGGAATGAGGTGTGCTATCAGCATAAAGTGTGCTGAATTTCAGAGATTTAGTATAAAGAGGAAGAATGTAAACTATCTCACTAATAACTGTTTATATTGACCCTAAGTTAAAATGATAACAATTTGGATATATTGGGTCAAATAAAATAGTGTCAACATAAAAAAAAAACCCAAGGGCGCCTGGGTGGCTCAGTGGGTTAAGCCTCTGCCTTCGGCTCAGGTCATGATCTCAGGGTCCTGGGATGGAGCCCTGCATCGGGCTCTCTGCTTGGCAGAGAGCCTGCTTTCCCCCTCTCTCTCCGCCTGCCTCTCTGCCTACTTGTGGTCTCTGTCTGCCAAATAAATAAATAAAATCTTTAAAAAAAAAAAAAAAGCCCAAACCCAAAACAAAACAAAGAACAGATGATGGGATCTTGAGAACGACTTAAGTAGATTATGTTATCTTTCTGACCGGGAGTTGAAAAACAGTGTGTATGGGGGCGCTGGGTGGCTCAGTGGGTTAAAGCCTCTGCCTTCAGCTCAGGTCATGATCCCAGCATCCTAGGGTAGAGCCCTACATCGGGCTTCCTGCTCAGCAGGAAGCCTGTTCCCCCGCCCCCTCTGCCTGCCTCTCTGCCTACTTGGGATCTCTGTCTGTCAAATAAATAAAAATCTTTAAAAAAAGAAAAGAAAAATAGCGTGTATGAGTTTGGTCAACTTCTGTAGGACTTCAAGGAACGCAATGGACCAAAGGCACGGATGACACCGCTGTGGCTGGATGGCATCCGGCCACATGTTACCTGGCATTGTTCCGTTCACATAGCCATTGACTGTGTACATTAAAGACGATGACGGGCTCCAGCTCTTGCTTTCGTCAAACACAGCAAACATCAGCACGTGTTGTTTGTCAAACATCTTCTGAACCCCGTCGTCAGTGAGGGCGCCTAAGAAAGAAAGGACGTACTTTTTAATAGCATCCCAGACGAAGACTCTCACTAGGTACTCAAGACAGCAAAAAACTTAAGGCAAACAGTCAGTCATGATGATAACTTTAAGAAGTTCTTATTTTAAAAAATAGCATCTTGGGGCCCCTGGGTAACTCAGTTGATTAAGCAGCTGACTCCTGATTTCGGCTCAGGTCAGGATCTCAGGGTCCGGAGATCGAGCCCTGCATTGGGCCCCACACTCGACACAGAGTCTGCTTGAGATTCTCCCCGCTCTGTCTGCCCCTCCCCCAACTCACATGCACACACACACTCTCTCTCTCTGAAAGAAATAAATAAATAGATACCTATTTATTTATTTATTAGTCTTTATTTATTTATTTGACAGGCAGAGAGAGCACAGGCAGGGGGAGGAGTGGGAGAGGGAGAAGCAGGCTTCCCACTGAGCAGGGAGCCCGATGAGAGGCTCAAACTCAAGACCCTGGGATTACACCCTGAGCTGGAGGCAGATGTTTAACTGACTGAGCCACCCAGGTGCCCCAACAAATAAATCTTTAAAAAAATAGCATCTTTATCAAGTAATAGTGATTGGGGGCTTACTAAAATCCTAGTGCCACAGTAAGGATTTTCTCTGACATCTAATAGCCTTGAGGAATGGGATTTAGAGGTAAACTTGACCAGGCACAAAGAAAACACATGTGGTGATGGTCAGGGCTTTAGTGAAAGTACTCATTTTCTCGAGTGTCAAGAGGCCAATAAACAGGGACTTCAGCTCAGCAGGCAAGGCACCCTCCAAGTCTCACACAGCCACCTTGCTTGTACGTGTGACGCAGTGTTAGAGAATTTATGGAGGTCGAGATTAGTTCATTCTGTCAGCTGAGAAAGGCAGCTGACAGTAAATGAAAGTAAAATGAAGTAAGAGCTTTTTATAAATTTGAATTTTTTTCAGCACCACCACAGTATTTTTATATACCAGGCAATGAAAATGTGTATTTGTGCAGTGAGTAAATGAATTAGGAATGTGTGTATGTGCGTATGTATGGACAGGGGGCGGGTCTATCACATCATTTCCCACAGAGTAGTTTATTGTGGTTATGTTTTTAATTAACATATAGTGTACTATTTGCTTTAGGGATACAGGTCTGTGAATCGTCAGGCTTACACGTCACAGCACTCACCGTAGCACATACCCTCCCCAATGTCCATCCCCCAGCCACCCATCCCTATTCCCCCACTCCCCAGCAACCCTCAGTTTGTTCCCTGAGATTAAGAGTCTTTTGTGGTTTGTCTCCCTCTCTGGTTTTGTCTTGTCTCATTTTTCCCTCCCTTCCCCTATGATCCTCTGTCTTGTTTCTCAAATTCCTCATATCAGTGAGATCATATAATTCTCTTTCTTTGATTCACTTATTTTGCTCAGCATAATACCCTCTAGTTCCATCCATGTCGCTGCAAATGGCAAGGTTTCATCTTTTTGATGGCTTCATAGTATTCCATTGTGTGTATATATACCATATCTTCTTTATCCATTCATCTGTTGATGGACATCTAGGTTCTTTCCATAGTTTGACTATTGTGGACATTGCTGCTCTAAACATTTGGGTGCACGTGCCCCTTTGGATACCTGTATTTGTATCTTTAGGGTAAATACCAGTAGTGCGATTGCTGGGTCATATGTTAAAGTTCTTTCCAAGTACTCTCAGCAATATATAGGATGTATACTTTCAAAAAGACTTGGCCTTGAGGTAAATGTTAGAGATCTTATGGACTGGTATCAGAACATACTCTCAGACAGGGATTTACTTGGGAGAGTCTCCCAGGACTGAGAAAAAGGAAGGATTAGAAGAAACAGGAATATTCCAGCCCTCAAATACCAATGTGAAGCAAGGATCTGGTTTCTGTGCTTCTCCCTTTGATTTACAGAAATGTTCCAAGATTCCTCCAATCCTCATTTCATTATAGTATACCTTACCATTTCAATCTTAGTTGTTGCTCTCTCTCTCTTTTTTTTCCTTACCTTTCTTACAAATGAGCAGAGGTCCAATCAGCCCAGAGTTGAAGTCCTGTATCAAATTTTCATAGGAGTAATAGATGTGTGTAAGGCATGGAGGGTCATCGTGTGTGGGTCCGCTGTCCTCACTGATCTTCCACTCGTACGTATATTCCTGGCCCGGAGCTATGGCATCATCCATCTTCTCCACCAGGAATGTGTGGTCAGAGTAAGAAGCACCTGGAGAAGAAGAGCCATGAAAACACCTGGACAGTCACTGAGGACAACTTTTTATCATCCTCAAATCTGGGGGAACATAACATCTCTATAGAGGTATATATGCCTTTCAATAGTGAACTTTCATTATTTGGAAAAATTCACATATACCCACTTCTATGTCTATGCAATTATAAGGGCTTTGGTCTATGGTGATTTGGAGTGAATCAGAAAGCTACTTGTATATTTGATAAGGTTTAGAAAGTTAATTTTCTAGGGTATCTAAATGATTAGTATTTAGGTATCATCAGAGAGTTGAATCACTGTTGATCAGAAAATCACCTCAAAAAAAAAAAAAAAAAAAGAAAAAAAGAAAATCACCTCAAGATAGGAGAATGGGTTTTATTTCTATTTTCTCTATAGTGCTTGACAAGATCTCTTTCATTTAATTGCCTGTTAGCATTGGATGTGAGTACACTCAGAGCTTTTTCTATGTTGTTTTGTTTTTCTTCTGTATTTCATATCTTCTTTCCCACCTCTGACAACCCCAGCCCTATTTTTTCACTTTACCACCCCCCCCACCTTGTGATCACCCCAACGATCCCCAGAGCCTTGGAGTCCAGCTCCCTTATGCCATCTGGTCGCTACTGTGATTATGAAATGTGTCTACCATGCGATGTTTAGATGTCCTCCTCCCATCCCCTGCGTGTCTGAAGACCCACCGTTAACAGTCCCACATATACTCTGGCTGTCCTGACTGGTGGGAGACGAGGAGGATGTAGAAGTTGGTCTTCCTTAGTGAAGAGAGGGAATTGAGATGTGGAAGATGGAGAGAAAAGACTTGGATGGAACTTCAACAACAAGAGGAAGATGTGGCTAGAGATGGAGCAAGTGAGGTCAGGAAGGGAGAGGTCAGTGTCATGGACAGCAAATGTGTGAGCCATGCCTCGTTTAATCAGGCGAGTTTCACGGTCATCAGCTGGTGCAGGAATTTCTCTTGGGGATGCATTTACCTTCTGTTTGGTACAACAGCTTGATAAATTTGACGTCAAAGGGGAGACCATCAGAGTGGAGACATGGGCAGACAAAAAGGATTGGATAAAAGGGCTCAGATGTTTTACACGGATGGTGTGAAGGGTTTGCGGAAACCATTCTTACTGAAGTGATTGTGCTTTTTTAAAACAAATGATTAATTTCTCACTCCTACTCTCTTTTCCTGTTCCTTTTCTTCTCTATTCTTCCCCCTTCCTCTCTTTTTCTGCCTCCCCCCTCTCTTCCTTTCATCATCTTTATTGAGGTTACGTACAATAAAATCCACCAGTGTTAAGTACAATGCTTGCTGCATTTTGACAGATGTGCACAGTGGAATGGCCACCGTCATAATGAAGGCACAGAACAGTTTCATCGCTCTGGGAAGTTGCCTTGTGCCATTTCCAGTTAGAACCTTCCCCTGCTCTCTGGGCCAGCAGCTCCCGATCTGCTGTCTGTCACTACTTTCCTCTGTCCTCTGAGGTCATGGAAGCGGAACAATATATTATATACCCTCTTGTGTTACTCATGTTAGTGCGGTGTATCTTTTTCCATCTTCTGCCTTTTCCTGTCCTTGTCTTTAAAGTGGATTTCTCAAATTCAGCATATAGTAAGGTAATTCTTTTAATCCGGGTTTACAATCTCTTAGTTGCAGTGTTCTTTCCGTTTGCTTATAATATAATCACTGATATGGCTGAGTTTAAATCTACCGTCTTCCTCTTGTTTTCTATTTATCCATCTGGTCTTTATTCCTTTTTCTTTTCTTTCTTGCTTTCTTTTAGATTAATCGAGTATCTCTTTTTATCTCCACTATTATTTTATTAGTTTTTCTTTGTTTTATTAGTGGTGACTTCGGTTTACAATATATGACTTTAACTTATCAGAGTCTACCTTCAAATAATATGATGCCATTTCACTTGTAAGACACTTGCAATAGTATATTTCCATCTCTCCTGGTCTTTGTGCTACTGTTTATCATGCATACAGTTTACTTCTGCATATATACTACACCCCTAATAAATTATTGTTATTTTTGCTTTGAAGTTTAGATGATTGTCTTTTCAACAGATTAAAAATGAGGAAAAACTTTCTCTATGTTTACCCATTTCTGAAGCCTTTTATTCCTTCTTGTGGATCCAAACAGTCTTTTAATATCATTTTTTTTCCTGACTACAAGACTTCCTTTCATGTGTTTTTCTGGACTGCAAGTGGGAAATTACTTCTTATTTCTATGCTTGAGACAGTCTTTCTTTTTTCTTCATTTTAAATGGATATTTGTGGTACAGAATCCTAAGGGGACAAAATGCCCTCCCCCACTGCACACCAGTACTTTAAAGATATCCCTAATTATCTCCTGGCTTGCATTGTTTCCACTGATGTCTGCTGTCACTCTTATTTTCATTTCTGGGTCTTTTCTTTTTTCTTTTCTTTTTTTTTTTTGGTCTGACAACTTTTAACATTTTCTCTTCATCACAGTCTTTAGTAACTCAATCATGGTGTGCTTTGGTATGGGTTTTCTTCATGTTCCTTCTTCTTGGTTTTGTCAAACAGTTGTAGGTTTATAGCCGTTATCACATTTGGAAAATTTTCAGCTTTGATGTCTTCAAATATTTCTTCTGTTCCTCCCCATTCTAGGATTCCAATTACACATATGTGACATCGCTGGATATCGTCCCATAGAATACCAATGTCTTGTTCATTTTGTTCAGTCTCTCTTATCTTCATGATTCATCTGGGTAGTTTCCATCGTTATGTATAATATCCGCTGTTAAGCTCATCTGGTGTCCTCCCCGTTGCAGCCGTTATATTCATCTGTAGAGTTTCCATTTGTGTGTTCTCATGTCTTCCATCTCTGTCCTCATCATGCTCTGAACATAAGGAGAATATTGATAATAGCTGTCTGAATGTCTTTGCCGGCCAGGTCTATCATTTATCTCTGGGTCTGTTTCTATTGATTAAGTTTTTTCTTGGCTACGGGTAGTACATTTCCTGCTCCTTCTAATGCTTGTTAACTTTTATGAGCATTGTGAGTTTTACATATTGGTTTCTGGATTTTGTTGCATTCTTGTAACTAATATGTTACACTTGCACACAGTGAAGAGATGTGGAATTGATTGGATACTTTCAAGTCTTGTTTTTAAAGTTTTGTCACCTTCTGAGTAGTCTGCAGTCTGGACTAATTTTATCCAATTTCTGTGCCTTCTGTTGACTTACCTCTACTCAATGCCTGCTTGTTAGGTCTTTCCTCATTTATTGATGGGAACATAAACTATTTCTCTGTGTGTGGTCCAGGGACTGTTCTGCCTGTTTCTTTCTGGAGGTATTTTCCATACTTTCAATACTCTTCTCTGTGTAGATTCTTAAGAACTCCTTCTCTGTGTCTGAAGCATCCTCTTGAGGATTCCATCCTGCAAACCCAGCCACTTTGGCCTACCAAAAGTCTAAACTCTGTTTCTTTAACTCAAAGGACTATTGAATTCTGCTTGGATTCACCCTCATCGTGCTGTCCTGGAAACTCTCTCCATGCAGTGAGCCTGGGTACACACAGACCCACTTCATTTGTTATTCTCCTCCCATGGAGCATTCCCTTGCATCATCTGTAGTTCAGTGTATGAAAACTGCTATTTCATATGTTTTGTCTGTATGTCTGTCTCATTGTTAAGCAAAAGGGTAGATACGATCCCTCATTTCCAGAAGCCAAAGCTGAGCTGCTGAATTCCTATACAGATTATTTCATTTTGCAGAATATTAGCTACTGTTGCAGCTAACTGCACATTATCAGGACGAGTCTGGTCTACTCACACTCATGTGAGCTTGCACAGCATCAGCATGTTTGGGCTCTCCAGATGGGAGTGTGAAATAAGGCACAAGCTTCCACCATCAACGAGGCATTTGGGCACAGCAGCAACATGCATCATGTACTGCATGGGGTTCTGAGCATGGAAGCCATAAGACAGAAGAGTTGAGTAGATATATCTAGATTCACTGACATATCTTCATCGGACAGAGCATCTTCTTTATATGAATGGGAATGAATACAACCAAACTTGAAATAACATGATAGTCGTAATATCAGCCTTACAGATAGGAAACAAAGATGGACTTTAATGCTCTTAGAAGCTGATGATTTATTGATGGTGATTTCACTGATGGCATATGGAAAAGAATACTAGTTATGGCTGGACCATAAAATCTTGACAGGAGACTGAGTCTGGTTACTATTTGCTCAACACTAATCCAGCTGTACTGATTCATTCGACAAAACTTTCAAGAACATTGCTTTACCCATAAGATAAAGTCCAAGTTTGTTACCATGGCAGCTGAAGTCATTTATGAATTTTCCCAGTCTACCTATCCAGTGTCATCTCCTTCCATACCCCTAAGCTGTGCACATTTTGTACTCCAACAGCTACCTACTACCTCCAAGTTTGCACTCTTCTCTGTGTCTCTAATGCCATCATCCTAGGATAAAACTAGACTCCAGAATTAGCCTATTAACTGGTCACTGGGATTCTGGTACAAGACTACCCTCCCAATCAATTTCCCAACTTTTATACAGAATGATGCCTTTAGACTTTGGATCTTACTTTGCCATACTCCTGTTTAAAATCCTAACCACAGCTTCTTCTTTCACAAAATTCTTAACATGGACCACAAGTCCATATGTGATCTACCCCACTTCTCTCTCCATTCTCATTGCGTATGACTTTTCCCCTTGATACTATGTAACACTCTCTTGGGCCACCTTTTAGTTCCCCAAACAAGCCAAGCTCCGTCCAACCTCAGGTCTTTGCAGATAGCACTGCCTTGGCCTGGAGTGTTCTCCCTCTTTGTCTTTCTTTTGGGTAAATATGTGCTCATCCTTTAGATGTCACCTTAAATACAAGCTTACCCCTTTCCTGATCTCTAATTGTGCTACCTATTTTTTCTTTTACAGAACCTGTGATAATTTATAATTAAGTATGTGTGGCATTGGATGATTTAGTTCATTTTCT